GATCCAAATAAATATGTTTAAGTGCCTTATAAAGATCAATTAGCTTAATGGCATTTTGTTTTCCTTGGATATAGTAGAGTAAAGAGACAAGTTGTTGGTTTCTTGTAATGGAAAGAAAGAAAGGAAAATATTAACTTGGAAAATATCAATCATTATTTGACCAATTCAGTATATGTCAATGTAGGAAAAGACAGATTTTATCCAGCATTCAATGGTCATATTGGAGGATTGAGATTATAATTATGTAGTGGAGCATTCACACCTGTATTCCCAGAAGATCCTAAACCACCTTAGGTACCATCTACACCACCTCCTCCAAAACCAGTAGATCCAACTAAACCTGAAGAACCTGTTTAACCACCTAAACCTTAAGAACCTGAAATTGTTAGAAAGTGTGTTAGTGGACAAGTTCAAATTGGAGACATGCCTTCAAGTGGTGATAAAGTTGTTGATCTCAAAGTCACTGAAGATAAATTAGGAAGTGCAATTGAATACGGATATGGATTTTGGACTAGATGGCTTACAAGATGGCCAGATAGTCTTATTAAAGGAGCCAGTGAACCATGGTATTTCATTTCTAGATTAACAAATAATGATCCATATGATAACATTAGAATGGGAGATAGATTGTTGGCTATTTGGTTAGGTTAAGCTGGATATACATTTATCACTAATGATGTTGCTTCAGGTAATCCAAATCTTAACAAATAAATACCTTATGGAGATATTGAAGGTGTTTGGACATATATTCATTTCAGTTACAAATCAGGATAAGCTGTTGGTGTTGTTAGAGTTGGAGATAAGACACAATTTACTGTTATTGATGCCAAACATGACTAACCTAAATTCTTGAGATTAATTGTAGGAGGTTCAGATCTTAAATAATATCCAGGATTTAATGGTCAAATCTCATCACCAATTCTAAAATTAGGTGCAGGTTCATTTGTTAATACTGAAGATGATTTCAATAAGTTTGTGTTAGCTTGCAACCCAAGACCAGAACCAGATTGTAAGGGTAAGACTGAAAGCAAATTAATTGAGGGCATAAAGAAATATGAATCAACTCAACCAGAATTTTATGAACATGTAAGAGATGAAAAATCTTTATTCCCAACTATGTATGGTATTGGTGGTTGGTATAAATGGGAACCAACAAAATAAGAACCATGGCATTTGGCATTTAGAGTTACAATTAATGATTAAAAGACTAATAAAAATGCTGATTTGTTGGGAGATAGAACATTAGCAGTTTGGTTAAGTGATCAATAATTATATGCATTTGCCACATATACTTATACAAATATGTTTGGAGCAGGATAACCAAATGCAGCTTAAGTAATTAAACATTAAGATAAACATACTGAATGGCATTATATTACATTCTAATATAATAGAGAGACCAGAGAAGCATATGGATCGATTATATTTAAGGATGGTAAATTAGATGTGAAATTCCCTAATGTAAATCATTACTTGGTTCCAGTATTAAGAATATTGATAGGAAAAGATTAATTCTACCCATCATTCAATGGATATATAGCTGATGTCACATTTGTAAATTGCCAAGATCCATACAATCCATAATTTACTCCAGGAAATCCTCCTGAATTACCTAAACCACCTGTTATTCCAGTTGAACCACCTTAACCATTACCAGAACCAAAATGTTAAATGGGTGATGAAACTATTGTAGATACTGCATATGATGATGTCAAACCATTAGCTGATATTGAAGCCACTCCAGAGAATTTGAAAGATATCAGAGAATATGGTTACTCATATTGGGTCAGATATTTGAGCAGACATCCTAAACCAATGTATTAAGGTAAGAGTGAACCATGGTATTTCATGAGTAGATTAACAGTCAATAAAGAATATTAAAATATTGAAAAGGGAGATAGATTATTGGCTATTTGGTAAGGTCAAGGTGCCTACACATTTATTACAAATGATTATAAGAGCAATAATTGGAATCTGAACAAAAACATTGAATATGGAGATATTGAAGGAGTTTGGACTTACATCTATTTCAGTTACAGTAGTATTACAAATCAAGCAGTTGGTTTTGTTAAATACACTGGTAAAGAACCATAATCAGTCACATTTGATGTTACACATGAAAAACCAACATATTTAAGACTCATAATCGGAGGATCAGATCTCAAATTATATCCAACTATCAATGGTCAATTAACCAGAGCTGTATTTAAGATTGGTGCTGGTGCTCATCTTGATACTGTTGATGAATTAAATAAGTTTGCTTTGGCTTGCAATCCTTAACCAAAAGAAGTCTGTTCCAAGGCTGTTGAATAAGTTCTCATTTAAGAATCTAAGAAGTTTGAATTAGCCAAGGCTACAGTTATGGAAATCCCATCAGATCCTTCAGCTGCCTTCCCATCTGAATACAGTGTTTCTGGTTGGTTCAAATGGAAATAAACAACTATGGAATAATGGCATTTAGCCTTCCGTCTTCACATCAATAAAGAAGAAGCAAATAAGAATGCTGAAAGATTGGGAGATAGAACTTTGGCTGCCTGGGTTTCACCTGCTCAAGATGGCATCTATGCCTTTACTACTTATACTTATAAGAATTTGAATGGAGCTGGAGATCCAAATCTTGCTAAGATTGTTCCATAGAAATAACAATAGACCAATTGGCATTTCATCTTTTATTCTTACAATAGAGATACTAGAAAGGCAGAGGGATATGTTTAATTCAAAGATAGAAAAGAAACCATACTCTTTGAGAATGTCAATCATTTCTTAGTACCATAAGTCTACTTGAACATTGGTAAAGATCGTTTCTATCCTTCATGGAATGGCCATATTGGTAAATTCAGAATGAATCTTTGCGGTGGAGCTTCTAGACCTGTTTTCCCTGATGGTATTTTATTATGATTATTGTATTTTAGATATCACTGTTCCTCCTCCAGTGACTCCAACTCCTAAACCACCAGTATCTGAAACTAAAGAGTAATTTAATTATTATTATATTTAGAATCTGTCTTATCAATACTAAATTGGTTGAAGTTACTAAGAATAACATTAAAGATGTTATTAAAGAACTTGAAGCTCTTGAAAATTCAGAGCCTACTGAAAAGACATGTTATTGCACTGTACCCAAGAAAGCCTCCATGTTTATTGAATTGTATGGAGAAGAATTATCAAACCATGTCGACAACCCAGTAATCTAAAGATTGATAGCTCAAAATCAGGTGCGTTTGAGGATATGATTTATCAAATTATGTATCATTCTGCAAAAGAACATGCTTTACTCTAGTATTTCAGTTATTGGTATGTCTGGTATTTTCCACCTTCATTCAGATCCGGCATAAAACTCTATAATTATGGACTGGATTGTTTCTTAGGAGCACTAATATGCTTTGTAAATTAACTCTATCTTAATTTCATAGTTTGAGTTAATTATTATAATTTTGAGTTATTTGATATTAAGTACTTAACACAGTCAGGTTGAGAGTATTCTCTTCCATACTTTCGTAATTGAGCTGGGAATGCTTGATCTGGATGATCTTTCCAACTTTTTAATTAAACTTATCCACCATCATTAATCGTTACAAAATAATCTCTTCCTTTTCCATCTCCAAAATAATGTTGAATTCTTTAATGTTAAGGAGGAAGCAATCCTCTACTTCGAGAACTAACTTATAACAATATCGTTTACTTTGTTGCACTTTTTGGAAATATCATCTTTGTGAAATCCGCCCTTGGAGATAAATCGAGTGAGCTAAGCATTTTTTATGACAATAGACCACCATTTATATGTTTTACATACTGATCCCTAATAATCATACATTAATATTACCTTCCAGTGCCATCATTGTGATAATGAAAATGCTTGGCATCAATCTTTGGATACTTATAATCGTGCATAATTTTATTATTACTCTTTATACAATTAGTTATATATACTTATATATTCAATAACTTAATTTGTAATAGTTATCGAAACTATCAAATTTAAAATCCATCATGAATTGATTCTTAAATGTATATGCAGCTTAACTACTACCTCTATCTGTAAATCTGAATTCTTAGACTCTGATCCAACTATTTTCATTACATTTTATATAGAAATAATTTTTGAATTATTTAATCTTTAATAACCATATTGTGCCATTCTCAGCTGTATTAAATTACTTTAAATGTTCTAATTCTAAGTCATTTATTTATGTAATATTTTCCAAATAGAATTCTCTCTCTTGATATTTCAATTTCAAACTATGGAAATTAGTCCCATAAATTCCTCTATATTAATTGTAAATCTTCTTTGCATTATTATTAAAATCCACTTTTAAATCAATCTAAGTAATCTTGGGTGCTTTAGTTGTTTCACTTGTATTTTAGCTCAATCTCTCATATTTATCAATATTATTAATAAATTCCTCTATTGAATCTGCTGTCAATTATGATAATTTCTATGATAACTCTTTATATCTATCAACTGCTAGAATATCAATTTCTTTTCTTAAAAGGATAGCACCTGCATCAAATCTCTAGATATTAATTAATATCTACTTATTTTTTGAAATCTCAATAAATGAGACACCTGTTTTTTATTCATCATTCATAATAGCTCTTTGTATTGGAGCTGCTCCTCTGTATTTTGGTAAAAGAGAAGGATGAATTACATAAACTCCTTTCTTAAAAATATCTATAATTTAATTAGGAATCATGTATCCATAATTACAAACTATTCCCAAATCAGGTTGATCTTTTATTTCATTAATAAAACTGTTGCCTTTATCTGATAAATTTGGCTAATATATTTCTATATATTTTCAAAACATATACTAAATTATTATTAGATAGCATAATCTTTTATTTAGTTTTTCTCTTTATGTGAATGATTTGGCACTGTTATCAAATTTATTTTGGGATCAATTGCTGACAACTTATGTAGCCTTTAAAAAATTGGCAAAGGAAATAAGCCACTTCCAAAAAAAAAAGTTTTCATATTATTAATATACAAAAATGAATAATCAAATTTCATCTGTAAATGGATCATTGATTGGTTCAAATGTATAAGATTATAAATGGCTACCTTTTAATCTTAGATATTCATTAAAAACTCCTCCAATACAACCTAATACTATAATAAAAGGAACTAATAGTAATTCCTCAAACATAATTAAGTAAAATGAAATATTTTTATTTTCAACATCCTAATATAAATAAGTGTATGAATATACTTCAATATCCAAAGAACTAAATAATAATCCTTAAAGAAATCCAATCAATGAACTTATAAAGATAAATGATATAATCTAATTGGGAGTTTCCACAATAGTTCTTTATTATACTTTTTGAGTTAATCCAACAAAAAAATTGATTAAATCAATAGTTAAATAGCATATAGTAGAACTCAAAGACATTCCCAAAATCACATACAAAGGAATCTTTGTATAAAAATTCAATCCTTTATGCCTATTCTATTCGAGTACTTTACCATTCTTGATCAAAATATAAACAAAAACATATAAGTCCAGATGCAATAATAACACTTGCAAAACATACTAAATACTTTTATTTTAAAGTCCATTAAGTATTAATTGTATTATTCATTAAAATTTTAGTTTTCAACAAAATATAAACACCTGTTAATATAAATGTTAATCCAAAATACTTCCTACATAATTTAAATATATTACAGCTGAAAATAAAATATTGAATCGAATCTCAATTAATATGAAATTCCCTATTGTTATTGATAATAGACATATTATTGCTCCAATCAATCCTGAAATTACCAATTGAATTTATTCTTTTTTGGTGATCTTCCACCAATAATTAGATTGCATTTAATTAAATAATCTATATTTTTATTAAAACTAATTCATATTATAATTTTTAATAAAAAATATATTTACTTTTTTCTATATCTTAATTTAAGTTTGCTATTTGAATGCTACAAAAATATTTAAGTTAAACATCATATAAAATATCAAATTTCTAATAAATTAGAAGTATTTCTATAAATAATAATCATTTTTTATAAAATATCTGTAATAATAATAAAGTATATCATGAAAAAAATAATACGTGTTATTTGAATACAGATTTTTTATTTCTCTTGAAATTAAAATAATTCGATTTATTTGAGAGATAGCTTAAAAAGAACATTTAATTAATTAGTAAGAGCAACCATTTAAAAATAATCAATTAATTCTTTGATATAATTATAATTCTTTAAGGATATATTAGTAAAATGTATCATATATCATCAAATTATTATATTACTAGGATTCATATAATCATCTCTTTGAATTTTGCATTTAGATTCTTACTTTTTTTTGATGGCTTCGGAGTCTATTAAAGGTGATCAGATTAGATATAAGAAGGATCATCGTGAGTTAAATACAATTTTGAAGAGAATTTAAGTTCACTGACACCTACTTATTCTTTTTCCTATTATAATTGATAATTATACTTATTTTATAGAGATTTATTTTTCAATATCATAGTATAATTCATCCATTTTATCATCATCACCGGTTATGTTACTAACAAGGGGAGTAAGTTTCAATTAAACGATATAAGGTTAGGATGATGCTTCAATATCGTTAAGACTGTCTTGTTTATATTATTTCTAAGCTTCAAATTAACATGTTCCCATATTGAGTTTCTTTAGAATAATTATTATTAGGGATTAAGGTTTATGTAATAAAACAATTAAATCCTTAATCAATTATATGATTATTAAAACAAAGAAATTTAATAATAAAATTGCTATAATTAATTCTTTTCAGTAACAACTTTGGTTGTGAATAATTATAATATATAAATAATATTTATTCTCATTTTTTAAATGTGGCTTATCTAACTTACAAGCATTTTGATTTTTCATCCCATATCACTAAAAATTAACCATTATTAGTCAATGAACCATAATTACAATAATGACCTATATCTATTATTTGGGAGATCTCTAAATTATGTGACAAATTCATTTTCATTATATAAACAAACTATCCATGTTTATTTATAAGAACCTATTTTTCTTCATTATATATAGAAGGGAAAAAGTTTTAGTAACCCTCACTAGATTATTATAATACTATATGATGTTAATCTAATTCAAATTAATTTGTATTTTTATCATATTCATAGAAAAAAGTTATATTTTAACTTCTTGGTTACCATGCTATTTTTAGATCATCAATAAAACAAATTCTATAACCAAAATCATCATTTTTAATACTTTATATTAAATTCCATACTTTAGATTTATTCAGTTCCCATATTAATATCAATTTATCTTCCCCACAAGAAACAAGTAAATTTTATGATTTATTAAGACTTATACATCTAACATAAGCAGAATGATTAGTTAAATTTTGTACTTGAAACCATTAAGATTATTGATTTTTTGTCCAAATCCTTATTGTTTTATCACAACTACATGATAATATTTGGTTATTTTTATTACTCATTAATAAACAATCAATCTATCTTTTATGTCCTAAAAGTACTTATTTGCATACCCAAATATTATTGATTAGTTCCCAATATCTAATAGATTTATCAGTACTACCAGAAACAAATTCATTCTTATTAGCACTAAATTTAAGTGATATAACTTGATTTGAATGACCTTAAAGATCTATTATATGTTATATCTTCCCATCATTAAATTACCAAATAGCTATATCATTTTGACATCCACTAATCATTATAGTTTAATCAAAATTAAAAGATATTGCATAACAATTTTATATTTATGAATACTTACTTATAATTTAGTATTATATCATACATTATTCTTTATAATCAATATTCTCTTTATCAATTTGAATATCATCAAAACAATTAGGAGATGAAAAGTTACTATCATTCTAAATTCTTTAAATCATCATTTGTGATTCCTAAGATTGAATTTATATTAATTCTTATAATTTTTAGTTATTTCTAAATGAGTTTACATTTTTATGTATTTAATAATCATTATCATTTAAGTAACTTTCATCTGAAGAACTAGCTGATTTACTAATTTCTTATGAATGACATAATGTTGATCTTAAATTATCATATAAATGTTATTATTAAACTTTTAACTCTTTTATTTATTCTTATAATAATTTTAAAGCATAATCAGTAATTTATTAATATTCATTATGAATTATCTGATTTTAAGATTCTTCTGATTAAATCAATATTTCTACTCTTTCCAATATTTAATCTTAATTTAAATTTATCCAATCTTCATTTTATATATTAATATTAGAATAGATTTTTTGTTTATTTATAGCCAAAGTATCTTCAAATTATATTCTTATTCCTTTTAATTAATCTATAATTTATTATTCTATTTTCTTATTTTGATCTCGTATTTATTTATATTACACTTCCATATCAAAAATTTATTATTAAAAATAAATTCTCTTTTTTTATTCAAATATCTTCCATTTTTCCTTGCATTTAGTTAATGACCAATATATTTCTGGCATACATTCTATGCAACACAATCTCATTGATTTATCAACATTCTCATTCATATCTATCATTATTATTTCCTTTTAATGATGTTAACATACTAGATTCAATTTTGGTGTTTCACTTGAATTTACACTTAATATTTATTTATCACATTCTTTCAATAGTAATTTATCAATTATATTTAATTTATTTTTCATTTAATACTATTTTTAAAAATCACACAAAAGATCTAAACAATTTTGAATTCCATCAAAATTATTAATCTATTGAAGCTCTTTAGAAAGAGATTGTATAAAGATCAAATCATTTAATTTATTTTATTGCTAACAGTAACTGTATTAATACTCTATAATCTATTAGATCTGTTAATTAATACTAACATCTCCTATTCCTTTGTTATTTTTCAATTTCTCCTCTTCTTCTCTATTAAATTATAATTAAGTTTGTATTATATTGATTCCATTGTCAAAAATATTTACGATTTCTTTTTTCATTTTACTCAAATTGTTTAATAATTGAATCAAGTAAGTTTCTTTGAGTTGATTAATTTCATCACTCTTCTATTTTTGTAAAGTAATGAAATTCTCAATAAAATTTTTAATGTCTCTTATTGGGATAATTAATCTAGATGTATTACCAACTAAACAATATATACACTACATCATTTCTGACAATTATATGTTAGGATTTAAATTAATTGCTATTGCTTCAGATTTGTGTATAGGACATTCTACTTTAAATATTTAGGATGACATTATGTAAACAAGAATAAATTATCAAAATTTACAAATAATTAAAATGAATAAATACATTAATAAGATTCACTTAATATGGTTTATCTAACATGAATATATTTATATTTAAGAAAATATAAATATAAATTTAGTTTATTAATATTATTAATTATGAAGTAAATATAAATATTTCAAGAGTATGAAGGTTCACATGGTATTTTAATAGTAAATACAAAATTTATATATTGATTTAATATCTTTAATTTCTTAATATAAGTTTTAATAATATTTTCTTCAACTTTTATATGATAATTTAAAAGAAAAAATTATAGATTCAAATAATAAAGTCTTAATAAATCAGAAATGATAATATATTTTTTATATTTAAATATAAATTTATGAACTTTTTAATGCATTTTAATTAAAATTGCATCCAATTTTATATTATTTAATTTAGTATAAATTTATATACATTATAAAAATTCTATAATTTGAAGAGTAAATTATTATTAAGGTGTTTATTTATTTAAATAATACTTTATTAAACATGATTGGAATTATCATCAATTATGTAATCATAAGAAATAATAAATAAAAAATTAATATATTATTTATTTATAGAAATAAACATCTTCATATTTTATATTAATTGATTCAAACTTGTTGCTAATGTGGGACAAAATAGACATCAAAAGTCTTTTGACTGGGATGGCAATTGGAACAGCATTTGGAGGAGCATTAGGCTATTTATTTTTTTATTCAAAAAATCAAATAAAGCATCTTGAAGAACAAAATTTTGATTAGTTATAACAAATAAATTAGCTAATTTCATAAAATTTAGCTAATAAATAACAAATAGACTAACTTACATAATAAAATGCAGATAAGCAAGATTAAATAAATAAATTTAAACTTGATAACAACATGATTGATTTAACAAGAGATAATGGACTGTAATTGGCACGTAGCATAAGATAAAATGTAGAAAACATGAAGGATCATCTCAATAATGTTAATAGAGTAGTTATACAATTAGAAAATCATGTTAAATAACTAGAAAATCCCACTGAATAGTATATTTGATATAATTCTATATATATTAAAAATAGAATTATGTAATTTTAATATATTATAAAACTTATCATTTTCTATATTTATTTGTTTTTTTCTAAGCTACACTAACCTATGCTGTAGATGCTCCACTTGATTTGAATGTATTTACTGTTTCATTTCCTGCATTACCTCCTTAAGTTCTGCTATGAATTTATTTCTTCTTTTTCCATTCTTTTCTTTCTTATTTAGGTAACCATCTTTCTGGATTTGGCAATGGACCAGGATTGGTTTTATCAAAATTTTTAGGGTATCTAATTCTCTTTTTTTTCTTTTTTTATATTTTCTTCACTTAAACTTCTACTTTTTTTGATAATCCTATATTCTTCTCTAAATTTTCAATTTCATTCATATCTGTTATTCCATCATACTATAAAGAATCAATAAATTTAGCTCCTTATTGAAGTTATCCCTTTTCAATACATAATAAAGCAAGTTAACTCTTGATTTGTTAATCTTCAGTATAGTATTATAAAGCTTTATCAAGATTACCTCTTTTAATATAGTAATTGCAAACTAAAGATTTATGAAATTAAGCAATCAATTAAATTTATTTATCATAAGGAGAATCATCAGATAATTTGAGAATATTAGCCAAGATGAAAGTACTTAATACTTTATTTTAATTCCAATTTTTTACATTACATAATTCAATTATTTTATTTGTATTATCATTATTAGTAGCAAATATTAAATATTGATATGGATCTTCAATTGGTTAATCCCATTTTAATCTATTAATTGCAATCTGAATAGATAATGGTAAACCTTATTCTTTAGTTGGTCTATTTTTAATGATTTATAAAATAGCTTTATTAATTTTTAAAACATTGAGTTATGATGGTGTAAATTTATAATCTGATGATAATGCTTCTTCTACTCTTTTCAATGAATCATGATGTGGATGTATATATTCTTAAAATACTGCCAAATTATTCAATAATACTGCTTATTCTGAAGTTTTTTCTAAAATTTCATATCTATAAATTAGATTGATAATTATTACTATTTAACTTTGCTTTTGTAATCTCCTGGATTTATGACATCTAAAATTAATTAAGCTAAAAATAGATCCTCATCTTATTCATTCTCAACTTTTACCATATTTTCAAATCTAATAGTTAACTCTTTTGCTGTTTTTAAACTAAAGTTTATTATAAATTATAAAAATTTACTCATTTAATTATAAATTAAGTAAAGCATGGTTAAGTAATAATTCTCTGGCATATTGATTTTTATTCTTTTTAATAAATTCTGTTATTTATAAATTAATTTGTTTCATTTAATTCTCCTCATTTTATTAAATAGCAGCATTAGCAATATTTGTTAAAATATCCTAAGAGTCCTTTTGAAATTTGCTCTTGATTATTAACACATAATAATACATCTTTAAGTAATTTCTAAAATAATTAAATTGCTTATTCAAATTCTCCTAATTTTAAATATGCCTATCCTATTAATAATTGATCTTCTGGCATATTTTTTCTAGATTCTGTAATAACCTATTGATATTATCCTTCAACATAAAGTAAATATAATCTTGTAAATGGATAAAGTGGATGATCCTTCAGTCCTTTCAAAATTTATGAGGCTTCTTAATAATTCTTATTATTTATTAACAAGATTGCTTTTGTTAATTAGATGTTTGGTGTTTATTCACATTGATTTACCACTTCTAATAATTAAGCAGCTGATCCTGTATGTAATTCTTCAATTAACCTTTGTATTGGAGTTCTTTAGTCCATAAACACGTGTTTACTAATATTTAATAATAAATATATGGGAGAAGAATTAATTTTGAAAATTTTAGATGTAAACCCCTTAACTTCATTATCAAGTGTTGGTAATATCATAAAGCCTACAGGAGAATGGTTAACAAAAGAAAGAGAAACAAAAATCTTGATAGATTTTGGAAATGCTATAATAACTCAAATATCTATATGTATTTAAATTTAACTTAATTAGAATAGAGAACTTTAATGCAGATCAAGTTAATATAACATTAAAAGGAGAAAATTGTGATGATCTTTATTTTGATAAAGTAATTTGGAAGAAAAATGCTGAATGGAATGAAAAATGTAGTATTGAAATAGAACCAGAATCATAATAAGTATTCTATTAAATGATGGTTGAAGTCTTAAATTATGGTTAAGAAGTTTATAAAGGTTTAAAAAGAATTAGGGTTTTTGGAATTTAAGATGAGTAATTGTATAATGAGCGGAAAAATAATGTGAAATAATTGAATAAGTAATCTAAGAATAAATAATAACATAAAAGAGATTCATAAGAGAAGAATGATTAAAAAGAGAAGTAATAAAAAATTAAAATAATTGAATCCTCAATCAAAAAAAATAATTAATGGGGATAATATAATAAAGTTTAAAATCAAAATACTAAAGAGTTTGTATTTATAGATCCAAGAGAGAAATTGAGGAATATTCACAAAAGTCCATCTCCTATTAAAGAAGAAATTATGTAATTTAATTAAAATACTATTCAAACACCTAAATAATCAGAGTCATCTATAAAACATGGGTGTAGTATTAATGAAAAAAATATGATTAAATACAATCTTAATCAAATTGATAAATAATTTTTAGAGTTACATTAAGAATGTAATAATTCTATTTTTAATTTAATTTATAGTATAAAAAAGCTCTGGTATTGGGAAAGAAATGTAACTAAATTTTGCTAATTTTGAAGTCTACTGGCTTTAATGAAATTTGAATATTAATTAGTGTTTTTTATTATTTTAAGTAATTATTAAATAGAGGTATCATGCACCTAACTCATTGAAAGTTTTTACAGATTTAAAAAGTTAAGACACTTCATTAACTCTGGTAAACTCTATGCAAAATGCTTGTAGCTTTTGTACTTATAAAAAGCTTACTTCAGTTAGAAGATCTTTGGTTACAATTGCCTTTGTTTTTAAAAAGTGTCGAATGAAAATGCTGACATATTTAACTATTTTAGTTTATGTTTATTTTTCCTATTTGATTGTATAATATAATTTACTTTAATATTATTACAATATTAAATACAATAATACACATAATATGTAACGAAATCAGGAGGTATTTTCATTGAATAATTTATCATAGCAATTAATTCAATAGTAGCAGGAGTGACATCAATATTTATAAATACATCCAAATAACTTAAATTATTAAATAATTTACTCTTAAAAATCAGAAGACTTCACATTTTTCATTAAGAAAAAAAGTACAAGGTTTGCATTATTCTCTATTAAATCAGGTAATTTTTAAGTTGTAAATCCACAATTCTTCAATAAATATTCATCATTTTCTAAAAAGTCTTAAATCAACTATGCTATAAATATTTTATACTTTGTATTCTTGATCACTGACTTAAGTGCAACAAGCTTTCTATACAATTTCCTTTACTTAACTCAATTTATCGCTATTTATTTAAAGAGTGTAATTCCATTATATATTATTAAGCATACTAATCTCATTCCAATATAAAGTATTTGCATTTACAAGGGTAGGAATTGGTCTTAAATGATCAATTGAAAATTAGTCAGAATCCAAGTTAAGCATCTTTATTTTATCCATAAGAAAAAAATATAAAATAATAATAATTAAAATATATATATATATTCATCAGGGTATGTATGATTATTATACCGAAACATTTGAAAATTCATTAACACTTACATTCAAATTTGAAACCAATTTCCAACCATCCAAATTCACACTTTATTTAGTTTATTATTCTTAAATGTGTATTGGGATTTAACATACAACAGGTACAGATAACCAAGTCAGGAATGAATCCTAATATTATAAATTTTAATTACAACTATTGCCTCTAATTAAAAATAATATTAATTCTTAATAGTATTAGTCTTCAGTGATGCTTTTAATTCTTTTGGTAATTCCAAAAGTGATACTATTCTATCTTTACTTTAACCTGCTAATAGACCATCCCAATTTTATGAAACAACTACTTAATCTTCTATTATTCTTTCTACATCATCGTTATCAATGAAAATCAATTTATTAATTACTCTCACTTCGATTCTATTAATTGGTCTCTATGATCGAGTATTATCAACAGAGTATTCAACAGATATTTTATCCCCAGGGAAAAATTTGTTAGTCTTTAATTTCACTGACAATTCAACGGCTCCACTATTCAAACAAAGAAAATGAACTATATTTCCTTCTAACTATCTGAACTATTCACTTTCTTTAAATCTGCTATTGAGATAGACATCAGCACTTTCCATCATCACAGTTCTGGCTTCCTCTGTAGAATCTATTTTTAAAGTAATCATATATCCACATTTTCCTTATTTCTATCCTTTTAATTATTTTAGTCATAAATACCATCAGCACTTTTATAATAGAAACTTGAGGGCATATTAAATTAGGTTGGAATAACAAAATTGAATTTATAATCTCCAGCCTTAACACTACCATTATAAAGTTCTTAAGTGTAAATAAAAGACTCATGAGTTCCATAATGTCTAAATACTCTATATAAAAGGTTTCCATTTAACTCATATTTCTTTTGTGTATATTTTGGTTATTTTAATGGAGAATCCAGAGTAATTTACACTTACATCTATTTTTCAATTAGCTTATCAGGTATCATCTAAGGATTGCTTTCATCATAAGGAATCTATTTTGATCACTTAAACGTTTACTTGTTTTTTCTCTAAAACCTTCGAATATTCTTTAGTTTAAAAAGTCAAAACAATTTAGACTTTAGGCATATCTTATGGTATTCTAACATAACAACAACCTGTTATTTATTCACCAGCAAGAGTGACGGCGTCATTAAATTAAAATAAAATTGATTTGCTCATTAGAAATATAAATATTTTTTAGATACAATTAATCAAGTTTTTAATTAAGTTCTGATGTGCATATAAAAAACTTCATTAAATAAACAATATCAAATTAAATTTTATATCATTTGTAACTTTTTCTTAATTCACTCATTTTTCAAATATATAGACAAGTTCTCAAAATAAATTCTTCTTAAATTTATATATATATTAAATTATTAAAAAATTTACACACTGAAAACATTATTTTTCATTAAAATGTTTAAATTAATAATAAAATTCTTGTTTTCTTTCTTAATGTAATTATTCTATAATAAATGTAATATTTATTTGTCATCACATGAATAATTTATGATTATTTTAAAAAATGAGAATATTTTATTAATTATTTTAATTAAATTATCAATGTCTAAAACACTTACAATTGAATAAATTTTCAGCAATACTAATTAAGAAATAGATAATGATTACATCTTTAACAATTTTATTTCTTCAAACTAATAGGATCGCAAAGAATTTGATTTATCTAAAAATCCATAGCAATCACTTTGTGGAGCACATGTTTCTTCTTAAAATATATCATTTTAATGTTTTGATTGTGCTCCTGATCCTCATCATATGTATTGTGGAAATTGTTTTTAATTGGAATTACATTAAAGTATATTTTTATGTATTATAGGATAGATCATAGAGCATTTTTTAAGAAAGAAGCTAGTGGATGTTGTGATTGTGGGGATCCTTCTGCAATTGCTAATAAAGAATCATTTTGCAAATTACATAAAGAGTAAGTAATAGACATTGCAAATGAAATTTAGAAAGTGAAACCTGATATAAGAGAGAAAATATTAAATTTCTTATAAGAATCATTTAAAATTTATTTTTCAAAATGTGAATAAGCTGCTAGTTTATTATCCAATATACCTAATCCCTTTTTAATACAATGTTGTCACATTAGTCACATAATAAATTATAAGTAGGTTTATAAATTAATAAACAATAAATACAATATTAAAAATGCTTATCAATCCATATTAGCAGCAAATCATATATAAGATATTATAATAGATTTTTTATCTTGGCTTTGTTAAGATAGAACTTCATTTGCTTTATTAATAGCAGGTTTTCTAAAATCTTAATTTAGTGTTGGTGTAACTTATTTTGAATAAATTATTCGTTATTCAGAATTAAGAAATGTTTTAGATTTGGATAATGACCATAAATTTGAGAAATTGCTTTATGTTTTGAATATTGATGAAAAATTTAGGTTGTTTACATAAGAAGTATTTTTGACATAATAGAATGATTTATGGAGAATTTATGAAATTTAATCATTTGATGGAGCTGTAATAGTAGAAGAATACATTTAAGCATTTGAAACTTTCATTTAAGGTGGTGTATTTTATACAAAAGAGAAAAATTAATTATAATTATTTGAGAATTATTTTAAGAAAATAAATACTTGTAATGAAAAATATACAGCTTATTCAATTAAAGCTGCTAAATATTTTTCAATGAATTCTTAATTTGTTTCAGAAGAGTTTTAGGATATTTAATTCACATCCCCAACTATAAAATAAATATTAGATATGAATACAAAATTATTAAATATATTAAATACTTGTCATTTGGGAAACATTAATTCATATTATTTAATGCTAGATTTCTTTTCACTAAAATTTTAATATAACTATTTTATTAAGAGTTTTAACAACACTTTATCCATATTATTTAAAAATTATTAAACCTAGTAATTGTCTATTGAAGAGATTGCTTCACTAAATCCTGATTCATTCTTTTTAACAGCTCTTTTAAAGAGTTATAGTTTTATCAAAGGGTTCTCTAGTAGAGATACACTTTATTAACCACTTATATCAGAGACATAAATATAACTTAATCTTTTATATATAGAATCAAGATAAATTTATAACATAAAATAATGTTTGACAAAATATTTAGCATCTCCTTAAATTACAATGATGGCTAAATCTAATTTAATTAATATTCTATTTTATTGGTCTTATGAATTTATAAGAACAAACAAAAATAATAAAGAATAATATAATTATTTATCTGAATTTTATCATAATAATAATATTCATAATGATATACAAAAAGACCAAATGAAAACTATTATTAGATTAAATTATTGTATATATAGAAGTGGATCATTAATTGATAAATTTTTTATCATTCTTTTAACTTATTTATACTAATAAAATGTATTTTAATCATCAAATTAATTTAAAATGTTTTTATTAACAACTTTAAAATAAAATGAGTAAGATTTACAATTCAATTTATTTAACATCTTTTAAAGATGTGTACACAATTTTATAAGTCTTCTCTATACACCTTTGAATGATTAAGTCTCTAATAGTTACTTTGCCATAAGTAAAGAATAGTTGGAATCCTATGATATGGCTTTTATCAAATTTTATTTCATTCTTTATAAGGATGAAGCTTTAAATTAGATGATAGGTATTATCTAATCTAGAAAATACTTTAGTGATCTCAGTTAAAATTAATACTTTATGTAATATTGATTTTCTATAATTAGATAAATTATTGCTAGAATTATTGTTTCTGATAAGAGTTTTTCTTGTGTTTGTTAAGCATTGTATAGTTAAACTAATCTACCTGTAAGCTTGTCTTTTACTTTATATTAAATACTTTCAAATTTATTTATTCTCAATCATTATTAAGAGTTTTCAGAAATTAAATCAACTTTCGAATAAGCTTCTTTTTCTACTTTTAATTTAGAATAATTCATATTAAATTTTTGTGAACTGGATGAAAATATTAATAAGTTAAAGTTAAAGTCTCATTAATAGATTTTAGAATATTTTCAAATATAATCATAAAATTAAATAGATCGTACAAATAATCATACTTATTTTAATCCCTTATTATTTTTAAATAATTAATCAATAGCTTAATAAATTGGAGAACATTTAAGTTCATAAAAACGAGAAGAATATTTTATTAAATTTGGAAATTCTATTGAATAGCTTATATAATTTGATTAATTAAAAGGAGTGAATTTGGAATTAATGGAGTTTTTTGCATAAGATAAGAATGTTGACTTAATAATTTAATAAATTTAACCATAAGCTAATTCATCAACTGAAATCATATTAATTGAAAGATTATTAAACATAAATGCATATTTAAAAAAAGATAATAAATAAATTTGTGAATCTTTAAAATAATTATAAATGAACAAATAATAAGATTAATAAAGTTTATAATTTATTTTAAATAAATTTGGAAATTCAAATTAAATTTTGGAAGAATAAGTAGAAGGATTATAAGTTAAATCTTTATAAAATGTTAAAATGAATAAAATGAAAGCTAAATTTTAATAAAAAATTTAATAATTTTAATAAAATGATATTGTTTAATTAGATGATTAAACAAATTAAAATGAAAAATATGATACTTGTGCATTATGTAGATAAGATTTAGATGAAAATTAATATTGTTGTATTCCAATTTTAATTTAAGCAAATCCTTATTTAAAACATTTTCCCATTTATCCACCTGATATTAGAAATGAAATAATGAAAGATTAATTAAATTTATTGAAAATTTCAATAATTAGCTGTAAACATAAATTTCATGATAAATGTTTAATTGCTACTTATTCATGTTCATAAAAATAGAGACTTCTACCTTTATGGTTTTAATTATAATGTCCAGTTTGTAAATCAACAAGTGAAACTAGATTATCAATAAATAAAAATAAAAGTATTGAATAATATGATGAATTTAATAATTGGTTATTATTGTAATGTTAAAACTTTGGGATTAAAAACTATCTAAAAGAAAAATATGGAGAATCTGTTGAACTTAAATTAAAAGAAATTTATCTATCCTTATTATGTGATTTATTAATGTAATTATTTATGGATTCTTAAGAATTTATCAGACAAGATAAACATATTGTATTTATTAATATATTAGATTATTTATTCTAAATAAGTAAAAATATCACAATTAATCATTTTGTATTTTAAAATTAATAATCAATATTCCTAAATCTAATAAACCTAATAATAGAGTTAATAATATAAAATAACCATTAATAAAAATCTCTAAATGATTTTCTTTAGGATAATTAGGATTAAATAAAATCTAAAATCTTTTTATTTGATTTACCATTATAAATAATAAATCAATTAATTAAATGTTTTGCATTAAATACTGAATAACAATAAAATTAAATCGTATAAGTTAACTAGTATATACAATAATTTAATAGAATTGCTATGATAGATTTTGTAAAAAATAAAATTACTGAAAATTTAGGATTTAAGTTTAAATCATTTTATGATAATTATTTTAATAAACCTTGCTGCTTTTGTAAAGGTTTTTCGAATGCATCAAAAAGTTCTGATTAATTTATATGTTTACTATGTTGTGAAAAAGTTTGTGATGTAGAATGCAAAGTAATATTTTATTATAATTTAAGAAATTGTTTTCAAAGTCTGGAAATATGAATGTTCATGCTTAAATAAACCATTAAGGAAATACTATATTTGTGAGTCTTAAGACAGGTCAAATTGCATTGTTATCTACACCACTAACTTGTTTTGGATACAAAAATTTATATCAAAATAAATTTGGATAATTAATAAAAATCACCAATATAGACACATAATGGGAGGAATATTATATTAATAATAAAGTCTTAACTGATGTAGCTGAAATCATTATATCAAATTCACTTAAGTAAATAATTAAAAATTAAGAGTTAAATTATAATCAATTAGACATAAGGGGATTCTTTTGAGATATTCTCTTATATATTATATATATTAATGTAATGAATTAATTATATGAATCTGATTTTATTAATATTTCATTTTCATTTTAATCCTACTTTTAGTTACTACACTTCTATTTCTGGTAATTTTCCCTTTTAGAATTAGTCTTATAAATTTCTGACAATTATTTGTAAACTTGTTGATTCTTCAATTTATTATTAATAATTATTATCATCCTTTAATTCTTAATGGATTGTGTGATATTTCTAAATTAAATGATCAATTTATGTTTCTTTTTATAATAATCCAATATTATAATGGCCAGGTTTAATTAATAATATAATTTTGTAATTTTCTCTATTTCCATATTAACGAATATTACACCCTTTATCCTTAAAAAAAATTAGTTCCACAAATCTTAGATAAATAAAAAATAATTATTTACATGTTCAAATTTCTTGCTAATTCTGCAATAACAGTTTCATTACTATTACATTCCATTTCCCATAGTAATAGATTTTATTTATCAAAAATTGCTTCTTTTATCTCACTATTTTCAATAATATAATCTGAATAATTTCTAAAGAATATAGTCGATAAACCATATAAACAACTATCAATTTCATCTGATTCATATTCATAGGTAGAATATTATTTTTAAAAAATTTATTATCTTTAATTGATATCTTTAATGTATTTTAATTTAATTAATCTGTTAAGAAAATCTTGCAATAGTAACTTTTCTGTTTCTTTATCATCAATCTTAAAATCTATATCCTCTACAAATATCTTCATTGATAACTGAATTTATTTAAGTTTTTCTATAAACTAAATGAATTAATCAAAAGAATAATGAAATAGTAAAATTTATAAAAATTAATATCCAAATGCTGTATAAAAACAATTACCATCTCCTCTTACCTCTCTAAATGCATTGCAATGTTTATCTAATAAAACGGAATGTTAAAAATCTAAATTATAGTTCTTTTTTAGTTCCTATTTACCTTAAATTTATCTGACATAATATTTGAATTCACCATCCACTTATCTTTTTTAACTAGTATTTTCATAAAGTTTTATAATGATTTCTCTAACCTTTTATTAATTCTCTTAACTATTAGCATAAAGATATTCAAAATTTTATTGAAATTTTTATAAGTCTTCATCATATTTAGTTTCATAATTTTATAATAAAATCTTAATATAAGATAACATTATATACTTTTATATCTTCTATTTTTTCAATCATTGGAAAGTATTTACATTATTTTTCAATACTTTCTAATTTATTTTTAAATTCGTTTTTTTTATTTTCTTTTTTTTCATTTTCTTTTTTTTCTTGCTAATCCTGTTGGGCAAAATTATTGTTTTAGAGTTTTTCTGGATTTTTCTAATCCTCATTTTATTGTATAGGATTTTTTAATAACAATCTATTATTTATAGATAGAGAAATTTTTACGGCATATTTTCATCTTATTATTAAATCTCTAATGTTACATGGGAACCATTTGCACCATCAGAGTCTTATTTTTTTATCAGTTTCTATCCTTATAGATTTTTAATTTTTATAATGGTATAAATTTGTATCATAAGTGTAATCATGGTTATTATAGTAGTTATTGGTAAAATAATTATAGCCAATTCTTATAGGTAACCATATATTGCTGCTAAATCCATTATAAAATAAAAATAAAAATTTGTTTTTCTATAATATAATTTAAAAGTCTCAATTGTTTTTGATAATTAAATTAAATAGGAAATATTGAGAATCTAAATTATTTAATTTAGCTTTATAAAATGGAAATAAAATAACAGTTCCAACTTGTAATTGATTGATATATTGAATCAAAAGAAATTTGAAGAAAATTGTTCAAGATTAGTTTTTGATTTCAAATTTACTAATTTTAATAGCTTTTAATTATTTTAAAGATAAGCTTGGCTTGTTTATTAAATAAAATAATAATAAGTTAGTAGAATATCTAAATGAAAATCAAAATATCAATCGGTAAAATATTAGAATTATAGTTATTACATCTTTTTATTTATTAATATGAAAATTAATAAAATTTTATTAAATTTGATATTAGTTTACTTATAATATATATATTATTAATATCAATTTTTGGATGAGTTCATTTTAAAGATTTTTCTAATTGTTTTTTCCATGCAATTTCAATATCTGCTCTGGCCATTTTTAATTAGCCTATTTCAAATATGTTTTTATAATCAGTTTAACCTTCTGTAAAACCTATTAATTATATAATTTATCTTCCTTCTTCATATTAAAGTATATTTAGATTAACAGTTTTATTAGATTTTTGAATAGTTCTGAATTTATCTTCATTTGAATTCTCAATAATATTTGTGATTAACTTTAAAAATAGATTATGAGAACTCTATAATAATTATTAAGATTTTATCTTTTTTAACCAACTATCATATAGATTGATTATTTCTTATTCTCTACTCAATTGAATTATTTCCTATTATTATTTTTATTTATTATTATCTTACTTTTGTAATTATTATGTTAATTATTCTGGTTTAACGTATAGTGATCTTAATTATTCATTATATTTTTAGATATCCTCAGGATATATTAATAATCCTCTTGCCATATATTATTCAATTGTAAATCTTGCACTTTTCATTCCTTGTGGCTCTTTACTTGAATAAATCAAAACAACATTACTGCCCATTTATTATAAATTCTACAAATAAGGAATCAACTCCTTTACTAATTGTTGGGTATTAAATTATCCAGAAGGTTATTATATAAGATTATAGCATGTTACTTTGTATAAATTTTCTTCTAGTTTTTTTATTTCACTAAAATTGACCCATTAATAAAGAAATATTAGATTTCTAATTTAAAGATTTCTATTATAGAGACTAATTTAATTCCTTTTCATAAGTATTTCAAAAGCATCTTCACTATGTAAATAGATTCTGAAAGTATCATCTCCTCTTTTGGTAGCATCTGAAACATCTTTATAATCAAATAATAATAATGGATAATAACTATTCAAAATATTAATCTCACTCAACATTTAATATTAATCCATAAAAATATTAAGGGGTTTTGTGAAACTATATATTTATTTAATCTTCACATTTATTTCTTTAAAAATATTTAAAACAGATTCTACCTTCTCTCCATAATCTCTAAATACCCATAGATTTTTAAAATCAAATAAAAATTTGTATTATTTTTTATCTTCAATTATTTTATCAGGTCTGCAAACATCGATTGGAGTGAATCCATATTCAAAAAAGTTAGTTTTGGCTTTTTCAGAGTATAAGAAAACTCCCTGATAATCCAAATCTTTTTAAACTTACTTTTGCTAATTTACACCTAATCTAACAATAAAATTATAAGCCATCGATTCAGTTACTTGTATAATTTGAATCTATTCAAAGGATTTTAAAACACAAGGAAATCCCATTCCTAATTTTGGTTTTGGCATGGGATATTGTTCTAACAATATTTAGCTTGCATTTTATGAGATGTCAACTATTTAAGGTTAATGAACATCTTTTAATTTTGCTGTTTAACACATTCCCATTATAATTTAATAAATAATAATATTAAATCCTTATTCTAGAAATAATTATATTTAATATTATCATAATAATGAATCAATTGATCAAATCATGTGTAAATCATTAATACATATGTTTTAATATATTCTAAAATAAACAAATTGTAAAATTAAATCATCCAAGTTTATATTTTATATAAAAATAACATAAAATATATAAAGATTGATTTCATTAATTCAAAGATATTAATTTAATAGAGGATGATTTTTGAAACATTTTTGATTTTCTTTGTTTCTTAAAAAAATTATACATGCTTTAAACCTAAGAATGTTCGGTTTTGCATATTCTTTTTTATGAGTATTAATCGGTATTCTATCTCACAATAAATTGTTATATAGGTCTCTTCATGAACATATCAAAACTTCCTAAAGATGAATGTTTTTTCTTCAACTAACTAGGTGGTTCTCTTGATGTCTAACTTTCATTAACTGTAGTTGCCTTTTCTATTTATAATAGTTGAGGTAATCTATCAATGATATTCCTACTGCGAAATATGGAAATGCGAGGTCTTGAAAGTCTCTACATTTTTCTTCTTTAAGGGTTGTAACGAAAGTATGTAAGCAAAAGGCATACAGCCAATACTAATTTTCTAAATCTTTTTCTTATGAGAAATCTATGCATTTTAATTTCAATAGTTCCTCTTGACATCAGCCTTTTAAATTTTAAGCCTGTATCTCCAAATATTGAACCTTCTGTACTTTTAGCTCTTTAATGAGATTCAATTTGTTATTGTGGTTATTCATCACATGATCGATTCAACTAATTCTTAAAAAGAGAACGTGTATAATGTTTACGATTTGGCTTAGAATTAAGAAGTGATTTCAGCTAAGGATCAAAATGAACTATTTTTTCTATTTACAAACGAATGGCTTGCATTTTTAAATCATTCATATATTCTTCACGATTCCTCACTGCTATCGGTCGAATATTAAGAGTAAATATTCCATTTCGTTTTAGTGTTACTTTTCTCTTCATACAAACAGCAAAATTTTGTTTATTATTTTAATTCTAATATTAAAAGAAATCTTGAATTATTATAATGAATTTAACATAACCAAATTAATATTTTAACAATATATTTATTATGTTCTATTTATTCTAAGTTATAATATGTCTCAAGACATCTAATTAATATTTTAATAAACATAAATAATAAAATAAACATCTTATTACAATTTTATCTACTCATATTTATAATTTTTAAGTTTTCTAGAAAATCTAAAATGTATAATACTTTGCTATAATATATTAAAACTATCATATATTATATGGAATAGTAAAATTTTGTTCTTTACAAATTTACATAACAAATAAACTCTTCAATAATTTGCCTATATAAACTTAATAAACTTTGAATAAGACATTAATACAAAAAGAATTTTTGTTTATTATATATATGCATGTTAAAATAAATCAGAAATAAAGATTAAATATATATATATAAATAATATAATGGATGGACATCTTGAAATTGAAGCATAAAAACTAAATATATCAGGTTACTACCTTGTCTATATCTCATAGATAACATGGAAAATGAAGCCATGGGAGATGTGGAGAAATATTTTTAATCTTCTCATGCAAATAGGAAAGAGCTGCCTGTGATTCGAGTATTTGAAGATTCATGTTCGGATTTACCATAATCAGATCAACCTTTCGAAAATCCAGGGGAATCCATTTTCGATGATTTAGGTCTTGAAAAACTCTAAATTTAATCTGTTTAATCTGTTCACAGTGATGGAAGAGCAACCTCTTGGAGCCATACTGATGATAACAATTCTTTGAATAAACAATATCTTAAAAGACCTAGAACAAGACAATAATTAAGCAACAAAATTGTGGAGAGTAATTAGGATCTCTTTAATGTACACTATGCTAAAAGTCTATATACAAGCAAAATTAGTTAATTGGTTGATAAAAAGATTACAACTAATCCAAAATCAAATCGAATTTCGTAATTTCATTAATATTATTCTAAATAGAAAGAGTCAATAGAAAATAAAAAGAAAGTCTTCACATTAACTTATTGAAACATCAGATTAATCTGAATAAAAAAGCTCACTTTAATCAGGAGGTGAGATGTCAGAGGACAAATTAGCAAAAAATAGAGTTGCGGCTCGAAATTCAAGAGCAAGAAAGAGACTGTATTTTGAGTTATTGGAAAATAAAGTAAAGGATTTGTAAGATGAAATTGATAGATTGAATGAAGTTTGTTAGAATTAAGCAAAATAAATACAAAAATATAGAGAGTGTTAAGAAAATGTATAAATATTTAAAAATTATCAAAGTATTAGTTCTAATTAGAGACCTAGAAAAAATTAATAGAATAATTAGAAGTTTGTTAAATCAAGGATTAAGATTTAGAGACAACAAAGTTTGTATTAGAATAAATGAAAGAATGTTAATTAAATTCTGATAAGAATATGGTTGGAAATTAATATATAGAAAATCTATTAGAGATTTTATTACCCATAGAATTAAAATATATTGTATATAGTTATGATCAAAATAAAGATTTGTTATCAGATTTTTAAGGGTATAATATTTAAATAGATATTTAGTTCTTTTTTTGAATGGACAAAAGAAACATATTAGCTAATGGATGTTAAACAAGAATAATTGAGAAAGATTAGAAAATAAAAGGAGAAGCTGAATTGTATAAAAAAAACCATAACAAGGTATTAATATTTATTATTTATTTTAGTTGTATAAATAATCTTTACACTTCAGTAAAGATGATAATTAGTGAAACTTAAAAGGTTGATTCTATTTGGAAGTGTATTTATGAGACATTGGAACCATTATAATTGAGATCTTTGTTATTGACAATTTATCAGGTAACAGTGAATATATATTATTTTTAGAATTAACATAGACCAGTTTTTGATTGTAGTAATTTATTTAGCGATTGTAAATATTTTAAATAAAATCCATAAGTATTCAATTTAGATATATTATTAGAGTTAAACTGATGCAAACTGTTAACGGCCTGCAAATCTAAGATAATATGTGAAAAAAAATAATTGATTAATGATATATATATATTTAGACTAATAATTTATGTGTGATCCTATAATTAGTGAGCAATATTATTTCAATGAGTAATTCAGTATACTCATTTCATTATAGTTCTTGTGATGTCAATGTCAATCAAATTGATTTTTCATAAGGAACAGATCCATTTTTTAAAAATTAACAATAATAACAATCAGAATTCCCTAAAATCTAAATTTTTGAAGATGCTAACAATGGCAATAATAATTTTGGAGTAAACTAAATTTAGATTGAAGAAATTAAAATGGATAGGCTTAAGATTATTAATGATAGCTCTGTAGAAGCTTAACCAAAAAGTGGGAGTGAAGGTGATTATTCTAGAGATGCTAGTTAGAATCATTAAAATAGTAGAAGATCAAGTATTTTTATCTTTTCAATATAGAAAAATACACAAAAGAAGAATAAAAAAATTTAAAAGATTCATTGCAATCCTAGATTATAATGAATTTGGGATATACAAAGAGCACATATAAAAATAAAATTCAGAATCTGGTTAAGAAAGAGACCAATAGCCATTTAATGGTAACAAAAAAAATTAGATAATCGTATTGAAATATTTTGATTCATTTTTAGAAAGAGTTAATAGAAGTTAGAAAGAAAGAATGAATAACAATTATTATTGCATACTGATTAGTCATCATCAGAAAATCCTGATTCATTTAATGATGGAATTACGGATCCTAATCGTCTAAAATAAGTTAGGAATAGAGAATCAGCCAGAAATTCAAGAGCTAGAAAAAAAATATATTTTGAATTATTGGAGACTAGAGTACAAGAATTATAGGATGAAAATGATAAATTAAGAGAATAATGCAATAGTTTATTAAAATCGATTGAAAATTATAATAAATAATAGGATAAGGTAAATATTAATATATATGTGTATAGTATTCATAATTCTTAGAACAATAATAACAATTATTTGATAGATTAGAGAATTGTATTAATTAAGGGAAAGATGTAACAGAGATTGAGATATTATTGGATGCACTTAAATATAGAACATCATCAAATAAGTAAGAGAGAATAGATGCTGCAAAATCATACTTATATTAAATATTAAATGTTTGTTTGCCATTATAGACAAAATATCTGTTCAGTATATTAGATGATAAAGATTTCTTTTCTTAAAATTCTAGGTACATTTAAATATATTAAAGAAATTACACAGATTATTTGAGAGATGTGTTTAAGAAAATTGTTATTACAAAAACAAATGATTTTGGAAATAATGAAAAGATTAAATAAAAATTAGGATAATCAAAATAGAATATGTATGAGTAATAAATTTGATCTTATATATGAATAAAGCTCATTTAAGAAGATAAAGAAGGAGATTAAATTCATATAGAGTGAAGCAGGAAAGGTTGATTTATTATGGGAATAGTTGAAAGAGAAATTATAACCTTAAATCTTGGCTTAATGTTTATTAATTTTACATAAGGTATTAATTTTAATAATAAATATATATAGAATTAATTTAGAGCTGAGTTCTAAGCATCAACTATATTTAAGAGAGTGAATGACAAAAAAGATTAAGGAGGAATGTTAATTGAATAATAATAATAATTGTTGTAAAGAAAATAAGTAAAAAAATGTAATTGATTTTAATCTGTTAATATTAATCATTCTATTGTTTTATTTTGGAAACTGAAAATCTTATATTTGCTTTATTGAAATGAAGGTTTTGATAGATCAGAACTTATTCTTAAAGAACTTTATTTTTTAGATAAACTAGATTGGCTGGCATTCAATAATGGATGATTCAGTGTAGGAGTTTGTTCCATTATTGAACATTCTATTTAATTAGTGATATTTTCTAATGAAACAATATTTAGTTAAGCAATTTATTATAGAAATAAATTGATAATAAAATCTAATTGTGTTTTTGTTGCTAAAGTTTTTTCAATTAAAAGCATAGTTTTCTACATTCCAATTTCAGTGATAACATTACGTAGTAATTTTTAGTAATGAGAGATTTAAATATCTTCAAGATTAGGTTGATCTGACAATAATTCTTTTAGATAACAATTCATTAATTGTTCATTTATGATTTCCTATAGTTGATATATTATATACTTCATCTTTTATAAATCCAATATAAACAATTTAACATAATGGAAGACCTCCAACATTAATTTTCTAAATTTCAATTTACCTAAAACAATGATCATTTTGATGTTAAAATGGACTCAAAAAAGAACAAAAATCATTAATCTATATTTTAGATGGTAAAATAATGACTATATTTTCTGAAAGTTAAAATGCTTTTTTTAAGTAGTTTAGGAGTTATGAATCAAGTTGGAAAGAATTGAGAAATTAATATTATATAATAATTGCATCTGCAGTTTCTTATCTATCGAAAAAGGAATTTTAATATATGTTCTACCTTTATGTTGAGTTATAGTGAAATTATTAAATATTATATTTGGCATTGTCATTTTGATCGATGGAGTAGGAATCCACTTAGGATGCATTTAATTAAGCAATTTCAATGGATAATGTTCCAGGTCCAGTTATTGCATCTACTATTAATTGTTTAGTAAATGAAGTTATTCGTTTAGCTAAATATTATGTAACACAATATGGGAGAACTGATATTAATTATTCATGGGTTATTATTAATTCATGCATATAAGGGAAAATATAAGGAATCAGTTCTTATAATTGTGAAAGATTGAGTAATTATCTATCAATGAATATTTAATGTATATCTTTGGAAGTGTTTTTAATTTTTTCTCCTTATTTTTTTAGTAGGAAATTGTGTAATGTTACTTTAGCTGTACATAAAGAATTTGGCATACCATATAAAGCAAAGGGTGAATTATATTTATCATTTATGATTAGAGGTTGGGTTTATTATTTTTATTTTTTGTTAAAGCAACAGTTTATTTTCTAGAGAAAGTTTTAACAACATGATAACTTGGCTTATTTTTTTTTGTTATTATTGTTCATGAATTAATTTAAATATATATTTCATTATTTAGTTTCTTTTTGTTTGCTTTTATTTTTGAGTATGGATGGTGAAGAGTTTTTAATTAGTGGAGAAGGTGATTTATAGGATTGATGTCTTTAAGAGGATCTATCAAAAATCCACACTTGATTTTATAAACTGAATCTAAGGGTTTTTATTGGTTTACCCTTACTTTCTTCAGTATTCAAGATTTAACCGAGATCATCTTTGTCAGATTCAGGGATTGGAGTATCTGAATCATCACCATCAGTTTTAATGAGTTTCTCACTCAGTTATTATTATGCTTATCCAATACAGCTCATTTGAGCTATTATATTTTGATATTTATTTGATTTATAATATTGTGTAGAATTTACTACTAGATAATAACTAATTATGATTGTGTATATTGATGTATTTTCAAATAAATCATTTCATTTCTCTGCTTTTGCAAAATGTTTTTGACATGAAATTAGTAAACAGAAACTGTAAATCAAATATGGAATCAAAGGACAAGCATTACTTTCCTCAGTGGCACAAGCATAAGTATCTCCAGATACATACATAAGATAATGATGATCCTTTCTATTATCTTAAACTAAAGACTCAATTTCAATATCATACTTTCATTATAAACTCTTGAATTTTCAAGAGTTGTGCCCTTTATTAGTCCATTATATTGAATTAGGAATGTAGCAATACATGCCCCAATCATGATAGCCACACTTCCAGCATGTCCTAAAATTGATCCAAAAATTAATATGATTATTGTGACAAATAATACATTGTATGCAACATATAGCATACTATGAGTAAATTTGAACTTAGTAAATTCAATTATTCTTATATCTATCAAATAATTCAATTTTCCTCCTGATTCATCAGATGGTTAGAAAATAAACTATTAATTAATTAATATATCATTATTACATAGCTTTTTGCAACATTAATAATTCCCCATATATTGATACCTCTACATACAAACATAAGACTAAAACCAATGAACAATCCTAAAAATCCTTCATTATGTATAAACAATGAATTCAATGCAGTTGGATATTAATAAAGTTAAGCACCAATAATTCCAATAGATACAAGGAAAGCAGTACCTGCATTAGTAGCTTTAAGGAATACCATATAGTTTTTGGCTTCCCAATAAATCTAAAATATTTTGCCTTAAACATCTGATATGAAATGAGCAAAACATGTTAATTTATATGAATCAGAAGAATTACAACCAATAAAGAATATAACTCCATAAATAATAAATAAAGAGATATAACCAGAGGCTGCAAATAATAATCCAGCAAATCCTTCTATTGAATATACTATTGATATCAATAGGAACATTAGAATAGCTGGAATAGCAGAAAATAAATCTCCCAAATAGTTTGAGTAGATCAAATTCATTGGCAATATACGATCACTTGTTGCTAATCCCTATTTGATCATAATAATTTACCATATTTCTGACATTAGGACATCCATGAGATGTATACCATTCAAATAAACTTATATGAAGTATATTGAATATCAATCCTAACAAATAACACCAACAAGCATGCATAGAGGATTTACCTGCAAAATCAATATCTTTAGTATTTTCACCTTTGAGTGTAAATTTATCAATAAGAAATGAAAATGGAAATGATACATGAATAATAAATGATATCAAAGCAGCTATAATTACTTACCATCTAACATTAAGAGCAGCAAATGATCCAGTCTCTTAATCTGCACACATTGTTTTTAAAAAATAACATATAATAGATCCTAAATATCCAATACATATTAAATAAATAGGTCCCATAATAAAAGCACTTCTATTTTTACTATCCAATATTTCAGGACTATTAATAACAATTTATGATATGGCACAACATAAAAATACAAGTACAAATCCTGTGTCTAAAAAATTGACAATGGCATTTCCTGCTTATTAAGATACCATATATGCTAATCTAGTTAATTATGATATATTATTATTGCCAACACTTAAATTTAAATCAGCCCTTATTAAACCAAAAGAAGCAGTCTTTAATGATCTACACATCATTGATATACCTTCTCTATATATGAATCCTCCCAATATCATTCCCATTAAGAATCCAATCATTAATATTGATACCTTCTCATATTCTTCTTTCTTCATATCTCCTCCCCAAACAGCCACATTAAAGTAATACATTAAGACATACATTCCAAAAAGTAAACTAAACAATAAACTCACTATAGCAAAACCACTTTAATACATGTATCCAAAACTCTCCTCCTTTGAAAATTATGACTTTTATATTTCCTACATATAACATACTTATATTAATGCTCTTGTCAACGATTTACTATTTGTCGATGTGACATAATATGCAAATAACATCACAGTAATAGCACCTATAATTGCATTGAACATAAATGAGAATGGATAATCAATAAACCAAATGTCCACAACCAAAAAAAATAGAAATAGAAGTAGAACCATATACAAAAATTGTGCTAGCCATAATCCACCTATTGATGTTTCTATTAAATCCACAATTCCTGATAAATATTATGGTTCTACTGTTGGCCTATAAGAACTAGGCTAAATATCATCTACTCCTAACAACCCTCTAAGTTGATCACTTACAAAGTCTTATTCATCTTTATATTGCACTGTAAAACCCTATTAATAATGCTATGATTTCTTACTTATGCTATCAAATGCACAAAGTACCATGCTATCCCCACTATACAGATTAAAATTATCACTACCAGCGATCCTAACCAACCCATTAATAAAAACGAATAAAAATTAATTTATTATATATGAATAGTAGCTCACCTTTGCAAACTCAATTAACTGAATTATTAAACCACAGCCATAATAACAAAAACTATTTCATTACAATATCTGAACAATTAATTAAGTATTATTTAACTCCAAAATAAATCCACTATATGAGACAATTAGATTTATAATCAAATCTAGAAAATCTTAATGAAAAATACATACATTGACTAATCAATAAATACAATTATAATATTCATAAGAAATAATCTTTTAAAAAATAGACTATAAAAATTAGAGTTAATTGAATATAAAATAGTCATTTATTCTAAATAATAAATACTACTTAAATTTTACCAAATTTGAATTCATTATACCATGAATTATCTTTCACATTTTCACCCCAATTAATAATTCAAATAAACTTATAAGAAAGTATTATTTATTATCTAGTATCTAAATAATAATATCATAATCTTAGTTTTTAGATTCTAATAAAAAGATGAACAATATATAATAATGAGATGATCCTCAATTTAGAAAGTTCTTTTTTATAAATCTAATAAACTTTTTGAATTATGCGAGAACAAAAAAAGAAAAAGTAGTTTTATTTTGATCTTAAATGTTTTTGCATATACATAAATTAATAGGATGATGATGATGTAAATTATTGAGATGATATTAATTATTGTATGCTATTGATATAAAATGTATATTATTTCATATATAAAATGCTTTTTGATTGCCTTAATCATGTTATTTTGTTAAAAAGATTTTAGTAAATAGATATTAACCTATTCTTGTTGTATGTTAATTTAAGAATTGAGTATATTTTATGATATATTGGTTATAAATTTTAACGGAAAATAAACATTATTAAATTCTGTTTGTAAAATGAATTACTATTATCCTGCCTATCCAACTCCATAAGCTTCAACTAATTTCATAAATTGTGTTCTTGATTTTGATAGTAAACTCTATATAGGAGATGCTCAAGCATTTTAATATTATCAGAATTATGATGTCAAAGCCATAATATCTTTTTCTACAGAACAAAGTAAACAATCTATTAACTTATTTATTAGATTTCCAAGCTAATTCAGATACCGATCAAATGGTTTTATAAGTTAATGATCGTCCATAATGTGATATCTCTGGATATTTTGATAAAACCAATAAATTTATCAATAAACATATGGATGATAATCACAACGTACTTGTCCATTGCGTGGCAGGGAAATCTAGATCTGCCACTATTGTGTTGGCTTATCTAATGTTCTCTTAAGATTGGACCTTATAAGAGGCATTGATTTACTTAAAAAGTGTAAGACCAATAGTTTGTCCCAATCCTGGATTCATTCGATAATTGTTGAAATACGAAGAAAAACTATTTGGTAAAGTCAAAAGCAATTTAACTCATGATATTACACCATATTATAATGTTTAAAAGGCAGATACTATAATACCAGAAGGACCTGCTGTGGGAAGAAATTACTAAGTTGATTAGAATGCTTATAATAGAAGATCCTCTTTTGTTTCACCACCATCTCAACTTATGGGACACTAGCGATCGTATTAGTAATTCTAATATGGATGGAGATATTATTGAACTAATTTAATATGTTTTGCTATTTTACTTAAATGAAAAACAATTATTTATAGTTAACGAAGTTGTTATTAATTTTAATAATTTGTAAATAAAACAAATGGTAAACTCTACAATATTAAGCAACACAAAACAAATAAGAGGATTTAGCTTCTAATTGAAGAAACCAAAAACATAGAAATCAATTTCTATTGCATCCTAAAGAATAAGAAGAGGTTTTTCTTTTGTAGTTGAGTAATGGAAAATTAGTAAATTATAATCACAGCTTTTTTCACAAAACGAATCGCTTATTCAATCATCCATCTCAATGGCTAGTTAAGATATTTCAATTATGAATTCAGAATTTAGTATTGCCAAGAAGATTCGTGGTTTCAGTTTTGTTAGGAACAAAAAGCAATTATGAATATGACTAGCATATTATAATCAACTTTTATATTTTTTTATCTAATCCTTAATCATTGAAAAAAGTGTATTATTACTTATTTCTAATTACATATAAATAGTTCTATTAAACAACAAAAATTTTATAATCCTAATCAGACATACAATAAAAATTCTATGAGTGATTCAATAGATAACACTAAATCTTAAGTTGAACACATCATTTTATCATCACTTTCTTTGATAAAGATAATTAAATAGATAAGAAACAATTGTATAAATAGATTAATAATAATATAATATTTTAAATGAAAAGAATTCAAAAGAATAAATGTGAAATTGTTAGTTGATTTAAATATATTAATTCAAATAAGAGTGATATTAGAATAAAAATTAAATTTCATATATTATCATAAAAACAACTTAATTAAAATGAAATAGTTCTCTTAATTTAAATAGCAATATTTTAATTATTATACTAATTTAGAGATAAAATAATCTTTAAGAATCTAAAAAATATTATATTAATTTATGAATAATAATAAAAAATGAATCTTTAATTTTAGTTTTAAAACATTATATAAAAAAAGTTCTATGTAAATTGAGAAATTGATTATATTCTTAAGAATTTGTTAATAAAATTATTGATATTTATTAATACAAATAATATATATATATAAGATGGAGGATGTAACAATTTAAAATTCTCTAGGAATTAATTAGATAGTTAAAGAAACCCTTTGAAAAAAGAAGTGAAGATGATTTATTTCCAATAGAAAGGATGGTAAGGAGGATCGAATTCTTTTAAAAATATTTTGCAGATTAAAGTGATCTAAATTTTAGTTATTACTTTGAACATGAATATGCTACATAAAATACATCCATCATTAACATAGATTCAGTTGGAGACAAATTCTATATAATTCTTTAAGGATAAGTAGGAATATATTTTAAGCCAAACGTTATAGAGGATAAGGTATCATCGACTAAATTATTGGAGAAGGTTAAAATGAGATTTAGATAAGCAGTTAACAATAATAAGTTTAAGGATTATTAAATAAATAAAATTTCATCTTAATAATCAGATTTAGCTTTATTCAAAATCTTATTACCAGGTTAATCTTTTGGTGAAATGTCTTTAATACATAATAGACCAAGAGATTTTACAGCTGTGGCATTATAACCATGTCATTTTGCAGTTTTAAGAAGATAATATTTTAAGGAAGTAGTAAGGATTGGTTAAGAGAAATCTTCAATGAAGGAGATGGGATTTTTTGCAAATTTGGAAATATTTGAGGGTTGGAATGTTAATTCAATCTTATAAGTTTATAAGTTATTGGAATAGAGGAGTTATAGGATGGGTGATGTTGTATATTTATCAGGGGAAATTGCAAATACAATTTATCTGATAAAAGAAGGTGCTGTAGATGTATAGAATAATATGATTTAAGTTATAATAAGTATTTATAGAGGAGAAGGAAGATTTGGAAATAAGGACAGCATCTCCATACATGAAATAGAGAGGTAAGAGTTTGTAAAGGAAGATTGCTACATTGAGTAAACACTAATTTTTGGGTTTGGAAGATGTACATAGTTAAGAATAGAAGCATAGATTCAGTTGTATTAGTAGTAGTTCAGATACAATTCTATTTATAATACCAGTAGAATTGTATATGAAGAAAATCTATAATCAACCTACAAGTTAGTAATATGTTAAAGAATTTATATAAGTTTAAAGCAAATATTAAGATTAAAGAGTATTTATATATTATATTTAAAAAGAATTCTTAATTGTAAATAGCAATAAATTCACAAAGATAGTAATAGCAATAGATTTTAGCAAAAATAAATTACTAATAAAATAATGATATGTTGGAATTTTTGTAAAATTTGGATGGAAGATTTAAGACACTTTCATAAGAACCATTAAAGAATTTGCCTAGGAGTTAAATTGGATAGAGATCATAAAATTTTAGTGCCCATGAAAAATATATAGACAGAATTTGTTTTACAAGAGCAAAAGATAGATCTTTATTGGGAAAGGTATAAACTTAGAGTTTATATTAAAATTAAGCATATAAATAAGTGATTAATGAATCAAGGGTAATTGAGAAGAATTTACCTAATCTGACATCATTTATTGAAAGGAATTCATCTGGTTTACATCATTCAAAATCAACTTAAGTAAAACATAGAAGGAAGAGTCCATAAAAATAATAATAATTGTAATTTTAGAATGTTTAAACTACTTTGAATGAAGAAGAATAATAATTAGTATCAAAAATTCTTTAGAAGGGAGTATTTTAACCTAGGAAACCTACTTCAGTAAAGAGAGTGAAATCAACAGAGAATTATTCACATAGAAGGACTTTGAGATTCCAAGATTAAACAAAGAATTGAGTATATTTGTAGATGGATTAGTAATTAATAGATATCTATTGTGTATATTAAAAGTTAGTTATATATTTGTTTATAATTCTTGTTTCTTTGGTTTAATTTCTATTTAGGAGATCAAAATTAGATGGCAAAGTTGATAATATTTACAAATATTGGAGTTGACATAAAAGAAAGTAGAGAAAGTCAAAGATATGGAATTAAGTCTAAATAAGTTGAATAATAAAAATTTATTAGAATACACTAAGGAATAAATTAAGATAAAAAGAAGATGGAACTAAAGATTTGTATGGAAGGTTGTTTAGATAGATAAAATTCTGTATTGATTTGTAGGAATGATTAATAGAGAGGGGGTGAATTCTTTAGTATATATAGGATTGTAATTAAAGATTTTAGTTATTAATATTTAAATTGTATAAAAACATGAAAGTTGAGACATTTTTATACATTCTGTTAATTTTAGGTTATTTCGGAGTGAGTGGTTAAACAAATTAACCTGGAGGAGTAACTACAGCATTATAAACAGACAATTAACCTTTATATCTTTGTGACACAGGTAATAGTAAAGAATATACAATAGGCTTTTTTTTCAATGATTAGATTTGTATGGCTTGCTTAACAGTAACAGGAGGAAAGTGTACATGTAAAACATATAATGGATGTGATACTCTTACTTGCAATGATGGTTATTACTAAGTTGGATAGTATATTTAATTTAATATAATATAGATCATGCATTACAATTCCAGATAGTAATTGTTTTAGAGGTGGTTTAGCAGCAGATGGAACAAGCATAGTATGTTACTAATGTGTTGCTAATTCTGGTACAACATTAATTGGTATAGTTTATATTTTATATAATAGGTGGAATATGTGTTACTAATAATAATTGCTTAACTTTTGATTTAAATACTGGTGTATGTACTAAATGTGCTAATGGATACTATAATGTAATGGCTGAATTTACACCCAGTGAATATTTTGATACAACTGAATCTACTTGGACTTCAACTAATTATCCTCTCTATTTCTAAAATATTAATTAATGTAAAACTTGTAATGCTGATGCTTCATGTAAAAGTTGTAATTTCCTGTAATTATATATTTCATTAATTATTATAGTAAATAATGCACAGAATGCATAGATGGTTATTATTTGACTGGAACTACATGTACTTAATGTATATCTGGATGTTAAAAATGTAGTGATACAACAACTTGTTCTGTATGTTTGACAACCTATAATTTAACCAATTCTAATACATGTTTATCATGTTCTACTACCTAATACTTTGATACATAAAATAAAACATGTGGTGAATGTAATACTATTAACAACTGTTTAACATGTAGTAATTCTAATACATGTACTAAATGTTCTGATGGTAATTATGCAGTCAATGGATCATGTGTAACATGTACTGGATTTCCATCAACTTGTTCTGCTTGTGATGCTAATAGCAATTGTATAAGTTGTACTTCAGTTACACCTATGTCAATTTTATAAGGTGGTACATGTAGATAATGTCCTTCTAATTGTTAATCTACATCAAATTGTTCATATAATACACAAAATAATACTGCCTCATGTTCTTTATGTTAAGATCTTTACTATGTAACATCATAAGGATAATGTGCTAAATGTGATTCAGCTGGTGAACCCAATGCTTTAAGATGTCATTATGATGCAAATGTTTCTGGTAACATTGTATATACATAATGCAAAACATTATACTTCTTAGCTAATAACAAATGTACTTAAGCTTAATCTAATAATACTTGTGCTAAATTATTAGTTCCAACAGATTAAANCAAAACATATAATGGATGTGATACTCTTACTTGCAATGATGGTTATTACTAAGTTGGATAGTATATTTAATTTAATATAATATAGATCATGCATTACAATTCCAGACAGTAATTGTTTTAGAGGTGGTTTAGCAGCAGATGGAACAAGCATAGTATGTTACTAATGTGTTGCTAATTCTGGTACAACATTAATTGGTATAGTTTATATTTTATATAATAGGTGGAATATGTGTTACTAATAATAATTGCTTAACTTTTGATTTAAATACTGGTGTATGTACTAAATGTGCTAATGGATACTATAATGTAATGGCTGAATTTACACCCAGTGAATATTTTGATACAACTGAATCTACTTGGACTTCAACTAATTATCCTCTCTATTTCTAAAATATTAATTAATGTAAAACTTGTAATGCTGATGCTTCATGTAAAAGTTGTAATTTCCTGTAATTATATATTTCATTAATTATTATAGTAAATAATGCACAGAATGCATAGATGGTTATTATTTGACTGGAACTACATGTACTTAATGTATATCTGGATGTTAAAAATGTAGTGATACAACAACTTGTTCTGTATGTTTGACAACCTATAATTTAACCAATTCTAATACATGTTTATCATGTTCTACTACCTAATACTTTGATACATAAAATAAAACATGTGGTGAATGTAATACTATTAACAACTGTTTAACATGTAGTAATTCTAATACATGTACTAAATGTTCTGATGGTAATTATGCAGTCAATGGATCATGTGTAACATGTACTGGATTTCCATCAACTTGTTCTGCTTGTGATGCTAATAGCAATTGTATAAGTTGTACTTCAGTTACACCTATGTCAATTTTATAAGGTGGTACATGTAGATAATGTCCTTCTAATTGTTAATCTACATCAAATTGTTCATATAATACACAAAATAATACTGCCTCATGTTCTTTATGTTAAGATCTTTACTATGTAACATCATAAGGATAATGTGCTAAATGTGATTCAGCTGGTGAACCCAATGCTTTAAGATGTCATTATGATGCAAATGTTTCTGGTAACATTGTATATACATAATGCAAAACCTTATACTTCTTAGCTAATAACAAATGTACTTAAGCTTAATCTAATAATACTTGTGCTAAATTATTAGTTCCAACAGATTAAACTGCTATCAATAATTAAAGTTGTTCTGAATGCTGGCCTGGATTGATTTAAAGTGGTTCAACTTGTTTCTCATGTGATTATTGTCAATCTGGAAGTTGTACATTAAATACAAACAATTAAACATCATGTACTTCATGTGTTGATGGATATTATTCTGATTCAAATTAAAAATGTTAATCCTGTATTTCCAATTGTAGTTCATGTAGTGGACCTGCTATAGGAGATTGTACAAATTGTTAAGCAGGTTATTTCAAAGCAGCCAGTTCATGTACAGCTTGTACTGTTGATAGTAATAATCACACAACTTGTTTGGTTTGTTAAGATGCTACTAATTGTTCTAGTTGTATAAATGGATACTATAATTTGAATGGTTAATGTTTAGCTTGTTAATATGGATGTAGTTAATGTACTTCTCCTGGAAATGTATGTTCAGCATGTATCAATGGATTCTATTTATAAAATGGTGGTTGTGTTTAAGATAATGGAAATTGTTATTCTACTGATAAATTGAATATTTTAGCTACAGTCTAATAAAATCAAACAAACGGTTGTTAAATCTGTAATTATGGTTTCTATTTGACAAGTGGATGGTTAACCTAATAAACTTCATCATAAATTTAAGATTTTGTTTGTATGTAATGTGTCTATCCTTAAAATGCTGTAATTTATTTTATTAATATTTTTAGTTTGTTTGCAGAACTAACCCATAAGATGTTTCAATATAAAGTGTTTAAACTACAACAACCGCACTTACACCAAGTAGTCAATACTTTTCCAAGGGTGCAATTGTTACTAATATTTCTAATTTTGCCTTATTAGACACTAGATATACTTCTGCTACTTGTGCATCTGGATATTTCTGGACCAATCAAAGTTGTATGCCATGCATGTCTATAACCTACGGTATATGTACATCATGTACTAATCTTACTGCATGTGCTTAAATTACATGCAATTCAGGATATTTCCTTACAACTATCAATAACTCTCAACTCTGTGCTCCCATGCCATAAGGATGTAGTGAATTAACATTCTCAACAAATCTTCTTGCATTAGCTTGTACAAAATGTATTGCTGGATATACTATAGTTGGAAACATTTGTATTTCAAATTCTGGATGTTAAACTATCAATTAAAGCAATGGAATTTGTACTTAATGTTAAGAAGGTTATTATTTCAATTGGGACTTTGTTTTGACAACTAGTGCTTAAACTGCTCCCACTACTAACACCAAATATTACACTACATTCAATTAATTCTGTTCATAATGTTAAGCAGGATGTTAGATTTGCCCATCATAATACACATGTACTTAATGTTTACCAGGATATTTCTGGTACTAATCTACAGTCACAAACAATTAATAAACATTTATTAAGTATAGTTCTAGTTTAACATCAAATATGTCAGGCTAATGTGTTCAATGTCCTAAATATTGTTAGACATGTACTACAGCTACTACTTGTACTACATGTTATCCCAATTTCTAAGCTGATCCCAATTCAAGTGTTGGAGCATGTATGTGTCCATCAGGATATACTTTAACAACTTCTGGTTCAACATTTTCATGTATCTAATAAACAACAGCAATTGCAACATGTTAAATTACTGCTTGTTCTTAATGTAATGCTGATAACACATAATGTTTAACTTGTTTATCATCATTTTAAGGAAAATCTTATACTTTATCAGGAACAACATGCGTAACTTGTTCATCAAATTGTAGTCAATGTACATTGATGACTGGTAGCACAAGTTAAACTACATGTTAAGTTTGCTAGAATGGATATTATAAAACACAAAGTGCAAATGATCAACCAGTTCTATGTTCTATTTGTTCATAAACAGGTGCTTTATTATGTTAAGGTTCATTGGAGAATGCCTCTTTTACATAAGTAACAATAATNATTTTGTTTGTATGTAATGTGTCTATCCTTAAAATGCTGTAATTTATTTTATTAATATTTTTAGTTTGTTTGCAGAACTAACCCATAAGATGTTTCAATATAAAGTGTTTAAACTACAACAACCGCACTTACACCAAGTAGTCAATACTTCTCCAAAGGTGCAATTGTTACTAATATTTCTAATTTTGCCTTATTAGACACTAGATATACTTCTGCTACTTGTGCCTCTGGATATTTCTGGACCAATCAAAGTTGTATGCCATGCATGTCTATAACCTACGGTATATGTACATCATGTACTAATCTTACTGCATGTGCTTAAATTACATGCAATTCAGGCTATTTCCTTACCACTATCAATAATTCTCAACTCTGTGCTCCCATGCCATAAGGATGTAGTGAATTAACATTCTCAACAAATCTTCTTGCATTAGCTTGTACAAAATGTATAGCTGGATATACAATTGTTGGAAACATTTGTATTTCAAATTCTGGATGTTAAACTATCAATTAAAGCAATGGAATTTGTACTTAATGTTAAGAAGGTTATTATTTCAATTGGGACTTTGTTTTGACAACTAGTGCTTAAACTGCTCCCACTACTAACACTAAATATTACACTACATTCAATTAATTCTGTTCATAATGTTAAGCTGGATGTTAGATTTGCCCATCATAATACACATGTACTTAATGTTTACCAGGATATTTCTGGTACTAATCTACAGTCACAAACAATTAATAAACATTTATTAAGTATAGTTCTAGTTTAACATCAAATATGTCAGGCTAATGTGTTCAATGTCCTAAATATTGTTAGACATGTACTACAGCTACTACTTGTACTACATGTTATCCCAATTTCTAAGCTGATCCCAATTCAAGTGTTGGAGCATGTATGTGTCCATCAGGATATACTTTAACAACTTCTGGTTCAACATTTTCATGTATCTAATAAACAACAGTAATTGCAACATGTTAAATTACTGCTTGTTCTTAATGTAATGCTGATAACACATAATGTTTAACTTGTTTATCATCATTTTAAGGAAAATCTTATACTTTATCAGGAACAACATGCGTAACTTGCTCATCAAATTGTAGTTAATGTACATTGATGACTGGTAGCACAAGTTAAACTACATGTTAAGTTTGCTAGAATGGATATTATAAAACACAAAGTGCAAATGATCAACCAGTTCTATGTTCTATTTGTTCATAAACAGGTGCTTTATTATGTTAAGGTTCATTGGAGAATGCCTCTTTTACATAAGTAACAATAATTTAATGTTAAAATAATTATTATTTATATAATGGAGCCTGTGTAGCTGTACCTACAACTGCTACTTGTTATACTATTTCATCATCAAATGGTAGTACTTGTCAATAATGTTTACCTGGATATACATTATTTGGTAATACTTGTTAAACATGTGCAACAAGTAAAAATTAAAATTGTTTGACATGCACTGCAAATGGTGATAATTCTGGATTGTAATGTACTTCATGTTAATCTGGATATGTTATTGATTCTACAAATAATGTTTGTGTTGCATGTTCAAGTGGATGCACTAAATGTACTTTAATTGCAGCAACATAAAATACTTAATAAAGTACTTCATGTAGTAATTGTAATGATGGAAATTATTTGGATAATATTACTGGAAGATGTTTTGCTTGTCCATATGATTGTAAGACTTGTGATTCAAGATATGTAATTATTATTTTATAATATTATAGACATGTTCAACATGCAAAGATGGATATTATTTGAAATAATCATAAACTACATTAAATGCCAAATAATATACCTTTAAACCATGTTATCCATGTTAATCTAATTGTGCAACATGTACAGGTCCAAATGGAAATGTTTGTTTATCTTGCTCATCTGGATATGTTATGTAAAATGGTGGTTGTGTCAATTTATAATAAACAATAGTAAATGATTTAAACAAATACAATTATGCAAACTGTTATCAACTTGATCCAAATAATAGTGGTTGTCTTAATTGCTAAGCAGGATTCTATTTAGATGCTTAAAAAGTTTGTTAAGAATGTGTTTCTCCATACAATAACGTAAGATATATAAATTAACAATTAGTTTGTTTGTGGTCTAAAAGCAGTAAGTCCAACAAATCCAGTTGGACCAGGTCCTAATCCTAATCCAGGACCAAATCCAACTCCAACTGATACCACTGTCTAAATTGGTTAAAATCCAGTTCCACCAAGTTCATATTCAATTATATTGGGAATGCTAATAATAATAGTTTTACAATGAGCATTTTTAGATAATAATAATTATATTTTTAAATCAATTGTATGAATATAAAGATTGTTATTATCTCAAGTCTGATTTTAACAACATTTACTTAAACCACAGGATAAGATTGTACTTAATTGAGTTGCATAGCTACTGGTGCACTTAAATAAGAATACACATCAAGAGTACCATATAAGTGTATGGAAGGTATATTAGAATATGATTGATTAAAATAGGATATTATTGGGGAGGACAATCATGTTAACCTTGTAAACCAATCTAGGGTGGACATTATGCTTGTACATCTTATTGGGGAACTGGTACATTATATTGTTTACCTGGATGGATAATTCTAAATGGGTAAAATAACATATAACATCATTAGGGTTTGTGTAAATATGCCAAATGGATGCTTAACTTACTAGTTAAATAAGGATTAGAATGCTTATATTTGTGGTTCTTGTGATAGTGGATTCACCTTGATAGCTGGAGTGTGTGTAGAAAATTAATAATGTGTTACTTACAGCAGTACTAGATATGTGTGTACTTAATGTTAATAAGGATATTATTTGAATTGGAATTATATACCTAATATATCTTCATCCAATGATAATTATTATAATTATTTTGGAAGCTTTTGTAATCCTTGTAGTATATTTGGATGTGCAAATTGTCCATCTGAGTAATATTTTCATTTAAATTTTAGTAATACATGTACATAATGTAAACCAGGATTCTTCTGGTCATTTAGTGGCTTAACTATTGATTCTACAACATCTGGTTCTGGAACATGTTAGAAATGTTTAGATTATTGTATTAATTGCACAAATTCATCTAATTGTACTTAATGTTCTGATGGATATTATGTAAATACAATAAATAGTATAACAACATGTTCCTTATGTTCACCTACATCAACTTGTGTGAAATGCAGTAATGCAACAACATGTACTTAATGTTTAAATGGTTATTAATTATTAAATCCAACAACATGTGAGAAATTGTATGATGGTTGTATCTAAATGGATTCTAATAAAAATTGTACAACTTGTTAAAGTAATTACATATTGAATGCTCAAACACCAAAAACTTGTACACAATGTGGAACAGGTTGTTTAACTTGTACATTAAATAATAATATTGCAACTTGTACTACTTGTCAAGAATTTTATTATGCAACTAAAGATTCAAATGGAATTATAACTTGTGTTGAATGTAAATAATATCCATAATCAATTGGTTGGTTAAGATGTGGAGGTCCATATGATAATCCATCATATACAACAGTTTAAGTAACCTAATGTATTGATGGTTATTTCTTGGTTAATATAACATCCAATAATATTACTACACCTACTTGTATTGCAGCTATTCCTTCATCAGCTTGTTTAACACTTACTACAACATCCACTAATACAAATAATTTCTGTGCTACATGTATACCTAATTTCAATCCATATGTTGATGGAACATGTTTATCTTGTCCTCCTTAATAAGGTGCTAAAACACAACTCTCCAATTAATGTAATAAATGTGGTGGAACTTCTACAACAAATATTTCTTGTGAAGGATGTAATTAAATGTTTTTCCTTTAATCTGCTAATTCAGCTAATTCAGCTACATGTGCTACTTGTTCTAGAGGATGTCTTGAATGTTAATCTAATCTTAATTGTACAAAATGTGATATTGGCTATTATAAGACAGGAGATTCTAATAATTCTACATGTTAACCTTGTCTTAAAAATTGTGCTGTATGTACTGATTCTAATGTATTAATTAAAATCTCTATTAGAAATGCACAACTTGTATGGATGGTTATTTTGCTTATAGTGGTTCATAAACTCCTTAGTCATCTTGTGTAGCTTGTTAATTTGGATGTGCTACATGTAATAATCCTGGAAATTCATGTTAAACTTGTATTGATGGATATGTATTCTAAAATGGTGGTTGTGTTCCTTTAAATTAAGCTAATTGTGCTTTAAAACTTAATTCAACCACAACACCTATTCAAACTTATAATTCAAATGGTTGTAGCATATGTAAATATGGATTTCATATGATTTCTAATCGTTGTTATTAATCAGTTTAACCTTATGCAGGAGTAATAATATATCTTATATTTAGTTTGCTTATATGCAATTAAATGAATAAACAATCATTAATGATAATCAAAAATATGAATTTGTTTTGAAATCAATTATGATAATATTATTATATTTAATATTATGAAAATAGATATAGATATAGATATACAATATTAATCATTTAAAAAGAGTACTATATAATTCACTTATCTTTAATTCCCCAGATTTAAATGTCTTCTATAATAATTAATCACTTCTCATCTTTCTATGTCTAAATGACAATTATAGTTTGTATAAATTTAATGAATCATTCTATTCAGTTATTATTCTCTTTGGTTCATTATTTTTCTTTAAAGCATCTCCATATAACATCTTTAAATCAGTCAATTAACTCAAATTTATTATGGTCCTTAATTTTATCTATTTGGATCTCACTCTCTTTGTAAAATCCTCTGATGATTATTTACTATGAATCTTAGCAGATGATAATTAAATGTGAGCACGTTCAATTGGAGAACGTTCTTTTGATTCCTTTGGTGAATTTAAAGGATGTGTATGGGCATTCCTTTTAACAACTCTATCCTCCTTAAATATTTTATCAATCAATTTTTAATTAAAACTAGATAATTTCCTTTCTCTAACAGTTTTTATTATCTTTTTCTCATCCTATTACTGTTCAGGTTCTTAAGATTCCAAAATTTCAGTCTATTATTTTAAACTCTCAAATGGTTTAATTTAAGAAGGACTTCTAATTATTAAAGTTGGAGATTCCAATCCATTTGATTAATAAGTCTTACCCTGTTATAAACAAGTAAAATCTCTACCAATCGTCATTGAAGAAGTCATTAATTTCTTAGAATTACCATTATTCCCTCCACTTATTTTTGTATAATCCCTTTTTATTATTCCTTTTGGAAATAATTTAGAAGGAGCCTAAAGAGTACTCTAACTCTTCCTCAACCAAGGATGACCCAATACCTAATAAGCTGAATACCTTTCATTTGGATCTGGATTTAACATCAATTAAACTAATTCCTTATATTCCTTACTCAAAGATATATTAGGAAATTAGTAATTTAATTTTAAAATATTTTAAACTGTTTACTCTTATATTGGTCTTGTGAATGGTAGAGTACCACAAACAAGAGCAAACAATATTACACCCATTGCCCATATATCTATAGATGGTCGTATCTATTATATCTATCCTGATAGCACTTCAGGTGGCATGTAACTTAAACTCCCCAAATCTATCTTATCAATTATAAAATTTGTAGCCACTGTAGCAATACCAAAATCTATGATCTTTACCTATTTCTCTGTTTTAGAAGTTAACAAAATATTCTCTAACTTTAAATCTCTGTGAACTAACTTTTAATCATGACAATAACAAATAGCATCTGCAATTTAACGAAATATAATTCTAGCCTCTTCTTCAGAAAGTTTCCCCTTCTCTAAAATAAATACTCAATTATTATTTTACATTAAATATAATCAACTAAATCCCCTCCTTCTAAAAATTCCATTATTAATATCACCTACATACTTGGAAGAGTGTAACAATTAATAATTTTTATAATGTTTTTATGTCTTAGATTTTTCATTACTTCTGCTTCTCTAAATACTAAGTCTATATCAGCTGCATTCCATAATTTCCCTGAATCGATAATTTTAATTGCAACTTATTCTTGAGTCAGTTTATGTTTACCCAACATCACTTTACCAAATCCTCCTTCTCCTAAAGTCTTTATTATCTAATAAACACTGAATTAAGAATAAGCATCAAAATCTCTAGCTAAAGGTTAACTTTATAGAAATAATAAAATTACAATCAGAAACATAAAGTAATGTGCCATCCTTAAGAAACATTAGATCTTCTTCAAATATCTCAACTCCTTATTATGTAAACAATCTAAGTCGATCTAATTCTATTGAATAGAAATGTTCAGCCTTCTTTTTAATATCTTTCATACTGATCTGCTTATTATTAAGCTCATTTTACTAGAGAATACTCCATTGTAATGATCGCACTATTCAAATCTCCATTAAGTGTAAGCAACAACTTTTGTTTTCGGTTCTCCTCAAAATAATTATCATAAAGGTCTAACATATTTATAATAATGAAAAATAAAAATTATAACAAACATATTTAACATATATATTCAATATCTAAAATGTAAATATTTATGAATAGAATTTAATATTTCATATATCATATTTAACAATCTATTTATAAAATAATATTTTGAAAAATAAAAAAATGTATTATCAAAACTACTATTATTATTTCTATAGTCTTGAAAAGATTGAGAATTAATTTTTAACTATTTTAATATACTACTTTTTTTAATTTAAATCTCAATTAGATTTTTTAGAGTCTTTTATCATATATCTATTAAGTGTTTAATAGATATAATAATAGTATATAAATTGATCATTCTAATATTTTATATATTTATCTGTATTTATATATTTCAATGTGCTTCTTTCTTGCCTGGTAATAACTTAGCCAAAAATCCATGATCATTGCTTTCACCTTCTGGCAATTTGAAGCTCTTCTTAATCTTGTAATAAGGAGGTCCCCAATTCTTTTCCAAATAAATGTCTATGAATGCTTTCTTGAAATTCTTGCACCAATTATAATATCTATATTTATAATTAAATTATTTTACCTTAAAGCAGCCAAAAAGCCTCCATTTGAAAAATAAAGGTTATGCCATGCATTCTCATTGTTATATTTATGACATAAAAATGTTAGAGTATTTTATCCTAACAAAATTGGTACTTTACTATATCCATCATATTCGGCATTTAGTGATTTACCTGCTATGTTTCTTTCGATATTATTTCTAACAACATGAAGTTAATGGAATCCTGCCCAGAAACAATTTGTTGTTGGAACATCATTCACATCACCAAGACCAAATATATTCTTGTATTTATTATGTTATAATGTTTTGATGTTAACATCCAATAATCCCTTTTATGTAGTCAGACCAGCCTTTACTAATTAATCATGAGGTTTAGTGGGTGCAACTGCATATAAATGATTAAATGGTCTTGTTTATCTATTACCAGTTTTAACATCTTCAAAAACTGCTGTATTTTGTTATTTATTCACTTCAACCAATTTCAAACCATATTCTACATTGATATTTCTTTTTTTAATTTCCTCCTTAAAGAATTAATCTCCTGCATCATTATACTAAACAAATCGTTCATTTGGTTAAACTATGGTGAGTCTCTTGATTGGTGATTGACGACCATTTGCAGTTTACCATTCCCAAATTCTTTAACTCAATAAAAAATTATAGGATTCCACTTCTCCACTAAATGGGAATTATGGAATGCAGAAATATGCTTCACCATGATTGAAATTATAATGCCATCTTGTATATTTATGATTTGATGATCTCCAACTTGGATGATCAAGATTTGTGAAGACTGGAGAATCAAAATCTTACCAAGCTTCTTCAAATCCCTTGATTGCATCATAATTTACCTATTAACCTATAAAAATGTTAACATATATATATTATACCCATAGCCACAACTAATTGACCATAACCAATACGTCTGCCATTTCTCAATATGATGGCATTCTCTTCTGGCAATATTGTTTGGCATCCCACTTAATCTGAGTGAGCTGTATACATATTAAGTGACAATTTGGCATTTAATAAGAAATCTGTCTTTGCTGTCTTCTATTGTTCATAGATTTATCTAATTGGTGTTATTTAATTAATATTCTAATCCAATACTACCATTGTCTTGTATTTTCCATGTGAAACCTAATATATTATTAAAATATCCTAATACCTTATCAAGTTGTCTGCTTAATACACCTCCCAAATTACATCCAATAATTACAACATCATAATGATCAAGATCTTTCTTTGTAGGCTTACGCTTGTTAAACACACCCGCAAAGTAGCGAGGTGTTAGCGAATGCCTTAATTGCATTCCAGATATTAGCATTTTTAAATTAATCAAATAATATATAATAAACTTTCATATTCAAAGATGTTTTGGACAGTCCTTTCTAAAGTACCATAGATTTGGAAATAAAAAATAAGTCTAGAACTATATAAACTATATTGACTCAATTAATAAAATAAATAGATAATTCAAATTGTAATTATTTCAAAGTTTCTCGAAATATTTATTTATCTATAATTAAAACTTCAAAAGAACTAAATAAAAGATAATACCATACTTGTTTAAAATTTATATGAAAGGTTGGGCGATATCTTCTTAAATTCTAAAATAAGGCTGAGCAATTTGATATTTTGTATAATAAAATGTTTAGATAAACCCAAAAATCATGTTTATATATATATATAAGATAGTTGTAAATTAATAAATTATAACAGATTATTGAAGGTCCTAATATCGATACACATAAAGGTCTAGTGATGTAAAAGTAAAATGATTTTAAAGGATTTTAATTCTAGGATGTCGCATAATTAGTCAAAGACTTAAATAATATGATAATATTTTTTTAGGATTAAATATTAACTAAACTGTTAAAAATATTTTTAGATAAATGAGAGAATTAGCTAGCATAATTAAAATATAATTAAAGAAATCTAATTTGATCAAATTAATCTATCTATTTATAATAAAATAGATTAACTCCATTATTGTTTGATAAAATTAAATTATTTTTTAAATGTAAAGGAAAGTCATCAATACTTCCAAAAAATTAAAAAATACTTATATATATCTGTAGTATATTATATTTAAGAAACTAATTTTTATTTCTATTCTTTTTTGCTCAATTTTATTATAATTAATTATATTAGAATTAAATTGCTCTATTTATTCATATAAATTATTAAGGAATTCAGAAAATAATAGTAAAAAAGAAAAAAATAAAGTATGTGAAAATGGAATGTAATTACAAACTGGAATGGATTAAATAGTAGAAATATGTCAAAATTTAACTAATTTTTGAAAAAAATGATGTATTAGTTTAATTTTTTAAATAGTAATAATAAAATTGCTATGTTTGCATTTCAAATATTCTTAATTAAATAAAAAAATTCTATTTTTTACAATAAAGCCATATAATCTTAATGATAATATGCTATTATAATTTGTATTTAATAAATTTTATTGATTATATTAAAAATACATTGGAGGAACAAAATTAAAATTAATAAAGCTAATTTAAATGAAACTTAAATTCTTATTCCTTATGTACCATATAGAGATAAAGTTTAGAATGATTTGTAGTAAAATTCTTATTTTAAATAGCAACAACATATATTTTCTATATTTATTTTATTCTTGATCATTAATTTGATTGATAATATAAACAGAAGAGACATTTATATTGTTTACATATTGAAATCTCTCTTAAATTTCAAATAATTCACTTCATTTATTTAAATTTAAAGATTAATTCTTATAACAAAATAAGCGAATAAACTCTTCAGTTAAAAAAATAACAACAAAATTCCTCATTTTTTATTTTGTGATGTAATAGTACTATTCGATATTTGATAAATTAACAAGTTCATTTTTATTGAATGTTAATATAAAGTTTAAAATTTCTTTTTCAAATCACCATAATTTTTTTTGGTTGAATTGTATTATTTTGTTTTACTTTACTTTTTTTGTGGATGAAATTTATTCTGTGAATTCATATATAAAAATAATTCCATTTGTTGTTTGTATATTAAAAGAAGGAATCGAAATATAGTATTGCTTTGACTTATATTTTGAAGGTATTTAAAATCATAAAACAATCATAATGTAATCAATGAAAAATAATGATGCAAACATTATTTAAAATAGTAAAACTACCACACATATGGGAATTATGAAAGATATCATAATTTGTGGAACAGTTTTTATATAAAGTGGATGGATTAAATAAGAATGAATCTTGATCTCTATATTATATATTGAATATAGACAAAATTGACTTATAATATATCAGGTTCTAGCTTTCTTGATTCTTTTGGCTAATGCACATTTATATTTTAAAAGATTTCTATAAGAAAGTTCATCATTTTGTGTTTCAATGACTAAAAAACTTAGTCGTTATGGATAGATCTCTGTTTTTTTAACTGTTTATGCTTCTTAAGATACATCTATTTCGTCATTCCATTTAATAATTGACCCATCTTTGTTGGAATTTGAATTCATTTCTTTGGTTAATTTGCAAAAAAGGAATGAGTATAGGAAAATTTTATTAAATTAATAAATAAATAGGAGCTTTAAAGTAAATCAATTTAAATACTACTTTGTATTTGAAAATCAATAAAGGTTTGTGAATTTGAAGATAACTTTTTATTCGTAATAACTATCCTAAAAGATTTGTAAAGAATGTCAAACATAACAAATATTTAAAACGGATTTATAATATTTAAAAAATATGCCGCTAATATTTCTTTTTAAAAAGAATATTGATAATTTATAAAAATACAATCTTACATACAAGATATAAAGTTTTGAAATATAAAAAAATATTATCTTTTACTTTATTATTTAATTCTATTAACCCATATTAAATGAAAGTTTGAATTAATATGATTCAAAGAAATTAGAATTATAGAGAAAATAATAAAATACATAATAAATAATATCAAAATTCTGCGCCACAAAATAAGCATAGTAAATCAGAATTTGGATGTCCCTTTGTTATTATATCCTTTAAACAATGAAAATCAATTTCTTTATCATATGGGATATTCACAGAATCAAATATTACTCTAGTAAAAAATTCAGATATATCATTTAAGAAATTCGTATCTTGTGTTTTGACTATCTTACTCATTGTTTGATGACTTAATTTAGAAACTTCAGGATAAGAGAGTTTACCATTTCTATCCATATCTGCTATTTTAATAAATAAATCAATGCGTTCTTCTTTAGTTTTGGCTTATACTGAACTCATTAAGAATAAAAATTGTTGCCAATCTAAAAATCCAGAACATCTAGAATCTATAATATTAAATATTCCTTTAGCCATATATTCTGATTAATCTTATATATTCTCTATTCCTTATCTATAAAAATCATATGATATTCCTTTAGTTAATTTATTTTTTTCTCTCTTTTATGTTATAGCAGTTAATAGTTAAAGAACTTTAAAAAATGAATAAAAAGCATATAATTAAGCTCTATTCAATTTATATTTAGTTTATATTTCTGGTATATTCATTTCAGTTAGTAATGGAATAGATTCCAACCAATTCTATTCATCTGAAAAATAATTTCTAGGTTTAAATTTGTTTTTTAATTATTCTTTATCTAAAATTAATTATAAAGGATGACTAATTCTTTTAGAAAGAGTCTTTGATTCAAATGCTCTACTTTTAGGAGTAGGATATTAAATTTAATCATAAAATTTGATAATCTTTTCTACATCATCAGTTTTTTGAGATAATTAATTATGCATATTTTCTATGTAATTTTATAATTCATCTTCACATTTTTACATGTTTTCTATAAAATATTTCTCTTATTTATTCATTTTAATTTTGCTTAAAAAAACAAAACTAGATTTTTATGTTTTTGGTGATAAATAGGGTCTAGATGATTAAACACTAGTAGTTCTTGTGTAATTATCATAAACTGATTATAAATTTCTCATTTCTTTTGTTAAAAATATACCTCTATGAGTAGTAGGAGGTGATTTTGGTACATCTTAATGAACAGATATAAGAGAAAGACATGATTTTAATTTACATAAAGGTATTTATTATAATCCTTCATTAGAATGATAGCTTTATGATGCTCCTCTATCAATTTTATTTATTTATTTAATATAGTGATCAAATGGTCTAACAAATAACCAAAATAGATTAGATCTTGTACTAAATAAATATGATTTGCATGACTTCGAATAATATTTTATTTAGTTGCCATAAATATCATAAAAAAATATATTCTTATTTAAGATATTTCTTTCCTTTAAAAAATCATTCAATTCCATTTTAATAAGTGTATCTATTTTAAATTTGATCAATTATTTAAGATTTATTTCAATATTTAAAGGTGTGATTTTCTAATCTGTTAAAATATCGTCAACATATATAGCTAAAATCTTTTCTTTTTGAATAGGTATTTATTCATTTTCAATAAAACCCCATTAAGATTGTCTTTATTGTATTTTTGAATTGCCTGTAATCATTAATCGTGCCATTATTAATATAATATTTTAATCAACAGAGTATAATAAATCTCATTTAAAATAACACTCTTTATCAGTAATTTAAAATAATTAACAAAGTCGTGTTAATGATTACATATTAATAAATAAAAATATTAATTATTATCATTACATTTCTATCTATGGATCTTCATTAATTTACCAACCTGTTAAATCAGCCATAGATTTAAAATGAATTAAATAGTTTTAACTATTTTGATTTTATTTTTAATCTATAAAACTTGTCAACAATTTATGTTTTCTTTTTATTCTTTTATAAGGATAACATAGCTTAGTTTCCTTTTAAAATTATTAAATTTATTCAACCTTTTTTTAAAAATTTTATTGTTTGATTATATTTTGATGATGATTATCCAAATTTAAACAATATCTTTTTAATTTTGGACTTTCAAGAGTAGATTACTTATTACTCTAAACAATTCTATGAGAATGTATAATCATTGGTTGAAAGAGTTAACTCATTAGAATCTTGTTGTCTTGTATTTGAATCATAGATTACTAAGACTCCTTTGTAATTTCTTATCCTAACTATTTTACCTACTTACGATTCTTTGTGATTGATTTTATGACATCAGTTTTGGTGTTTATGGTAGATTTATCTATTTATTTTGTATCATTCTAATATTTGATCTTATTTGTTAATTGAGCATAGTTTCCATATAAATGCAATCAACTGATGAGCTAGCCTTTTATTTCTTCATTAATATATAAAATTAAATTATTTATAAAATTTAAGAAATACAAATGGGAGCATGTAATAATAATTTATAAACAGCTGGAACCATTAAAATTTAATCTTTTCTTAAATCTCTGCTTAATCATAACAGAGATATATAATTTACTGCTCCTATAGGTGCAATTAAAGATGAAACTTAATTATAAGCAGAAAATTTCAGCATATAAATATGGAATCAATTTGATGCATTAAGAAAAGTTAGATAAGATTAGAATTAGCTGTATAACATCATCTCTTTCTTTGTATTGAAATAGATTGTTTAGTAAAATGATTAGGTTTTATTATAAAAAATATATGCAGTATCCCAATCTATGTAATGGTAAGTATATTTTTAAGGAAGGCAAATTTTAAACAATAAAATGAATTTGAAAAATAGTTTTAAAAATATCATATAGAAGATTGTAAAAGAAAAACATCTTTTTGAATTATATTATTCAGATATTCAAAACAATCATAACTTCTTTGTGTTATGTATAATATTTTTTAGAAACTGGATATATGATATTGCATCATAAAACAAAGAAAAATTAAACAAGAAAGAAGAAATACAGAAAATTTTAGATTGGAATATCCCATTTAATTTGACAGAATAAATTCTACTTAATGAAATAGCCTAAAATATGAATTTGTAATTGTTTATTTATATATAAACTAGGAAAATTAACATTTTTGATGTATAAACACAATCCTAAGAGCATTTCGGAACAGCATAAATAGAAAATTTTATAATAAAATAATTAAGTTAACTTTACATAGGTTTACCAAAAAAATATTTTACTAGAAATAATCCTTCTGCTATTATTTATTAATTATATAAGTAAACAAATTAAGCTAGAAATGTAGCTTTAGAATAATAGAAATTTGTAAGTGAAGATTAAAATTAATAAGAGTTAATTTTTGAGTATTAAATGACTAAATAAATGTTTGAATAAATTAAACTTAGAGGATTTAAAAGAGTAAGAGGAGATGGAAATTGTTTTTATACTGCCTTCATCTATTAGTATCTACAAATAGTAATAACAAAGTTTGGAGATTAAGAATTTTAACAATTTGTAGAAATTTTACAATAAATTGATTTTAATCTTACACATGAAACTATTGAACATTTTCCAACAGGAACTAGAAAAGATCTAAAATAAATATTTCTTAATTTTATTTATGAAATAATAGGAAGCAAAGATAAGATATAAAGTTTTGAAAATGAATTTAAAAATACAAAAAGTATTTTTTATGCCTTATCAATAATATATGCAAAAAATTTAATTCATTATTTTGTAGAATTTAAGTATTCCAATTATATAATATTTAGTTCTGAATATCAAGTTTTATTAGGAGAGGAAGCAGAATAATAAATATACTAATGGGAACTTGAAACAGACAATATTTAAGTATTACTAGTGATTTTAGCAAATTGTTTAAATCTTATTCTGCATTTCTATTTCATTGATTCTGATAGCAAAACTATTGATCTACAATTCTATTAACCTTATTAGAATGACTTATCATTACCATCATAAAATATATATTTACTATTTTGCCCAGGACATTATTGTATTGGATTACCTTTAGAAAAAAATTGATTTAATTTTAAGACTATTTAGCATTTTCTATTATTTTATATACAATTATTTTTATTCTAATAAATTTTTTTGCTATTAATTATTTGATTAAATGTTTTAAAAGTCTAAAGAATATGTTGCTAATTTATTACCCTTTAAACCCAACAAAAATAATAAATAGGAAATTATAGATGAAGTTAGTAAAGAGAAAATTAAAGAAAAAATGTTGATTTATTAAAATCATAAGGACAACAATGATTTAAAAGTGCTTTAGTAAATCTATGATGAAGTTTATAAATATAATCATATAGATTAGAACCAGAAAAGGTTCATTAAAAGCATAGAATCTAATAGTTAATTATTTAGTTATTATTCTATCAAACAATTATAAGAAAAACATAAAATGTTAAAGTTATGTAGTAAATTTAGAGAGGTCAGAGGGGATGGTAATTGTTTTTATACTGCTTTGGGCTTTAGATTTTTATAGATATTATTAGGAGAATAAAACTAATCATAATTTTTATCTTTTTTGGATAAAATTGAGTTAATCGATCTATAATTTATATAATATTTTAAGAATTAAAAAATACCAGAAGAAATCTAAAAAAGTCTACTAAATGAATATTTATTTCGATTATGTTAGATGAGATTAATAGAAGATTAGGAATAAAGGCTAATAAATTTAGTTGAATAATACAAAGCCTTTGAACCAAAGGATGATATTGATGGTTACTTTTTTGCTTTAACAACAATCTTCTTTAGAAATATTTCATATTATGTAGCATCAAAAAGTGAATTAGCAGAAAATATATTTGATAAAGATAATCTATTAATTTGGGGAGAAGAATGCAATAATAATGAGATAATCATCAAGGAACTTGCAGAATTTTTAAGAGTGTAAGAAATTAACATTTATTATTATAGAATGATTGTTTTGGTATTCATAAATAAAGGAACAGTGTAGAGTGTAGAATATTCTGGAGAACTTCACTACCATTAAATATTACTTCTTTTCTAGCCTGGACATTATAATATTGGATTTGAATGAATTTATATATATATATATATATCACGAAAACTTGGATTTATGATGTCCTTTAATTAGTTTAGTTTTGAAAGCATTTTTGCTAGAATATACACCAGATGATAATTATTATTATTTGAATTCTTGAAGATCGGTTAATATATTATAATTATCTTCTTCCTCTTCATCATAATCTTATTATTAAAATACATCCTTATATTCTGAGTCATCATACTTTTTAATATCTTGATCATTTTGATTTTATTAATTCTAATATGTGAATTATTTTTATTTGAATTATTCATATGTCTTTAAAGCATTCTTTGCTCTACTTAATGCTTTCTCTTTCTTGTCTTCTTTTTCTGTTTAAATTTATTATTATTATTATTCTTTTTGTTATTTACTACCATATAATCGATCTAATAATTATTATTTAGATGAACTGATTTATCCATCACTTTTTTCAACTTTTGTTGGTATAATTGTATCTTTAAGTTCCTCTAATAATTCATTAGCTTCTTATTCTGCAGCATCAGCTCTAGATTTTTCATCTATTCTATAACCCCAATTAACATCATGACCTAAAATTAATGCCCCTATTTTAGATATTTATCCATTTCTAAATGCCCATAAATAACAACAACAATCAAATGACGATGTTGCAAAATGTGATCCATCTTTACAAACTTCTATATATGTAATACCATCTTAATGAGCTTTTCTTTAATATCCAACTTCCTTAATGTCTCCTATAACAAATATCTATTATAATTTGATTAATTAATACTTAAGCAATATCTTCTTATCCATAATCCATTGCTGTTACAAATGTATCAGCATCATTATTCTTTCTTGTCTTTATCTTCTATTCTACTTAATGGAGATCAACTTTCTCTAAGACTTACTTAATATTCCAAATTTTTAGATTACCTAATTCATCACCCAAATATAATAAATCATCATGATAATTTATTGAAGTCACAGGAAACTATTGATAGATATTAAATTTACTGTCTCTTCTTAATTAGTCAAAGATATAGCTTTATATGTTTTTTATAATAATAATTTAGATTTAAATTTGCTCTCTAATACACCAATGAAATAAACATTTCCAATAGAATCAACACTTACAATACAATTATGAGATTCCAAAAACATTACCTTTTTCAATTCATATTAACATTTCCAAACCAATTCTTATCTATAAGATACTAAATCTATAATAAAAATAGCTCCATCATCTGCACAACTAACTAAATGCTCACTATCTTATTTAACATGTAATGAATTAACACTTAAATGATGTTGTTTCATTTTATATCTACATGATTTATGAGCATCTTGAGAGTCTTCATCATGAATATTGACAGTATCTTCTCTACTACAACTAATTACTCTTCTATTAGTATCATTACTCCAATGAGCTAAATCAGTAATCATCTTATGATGTCTTTCAAATTTTTTCATTTTAGCACCATTTTTAATATTGACTGTGAATATTCTACCTTCTGCATCTCCAATAAATAATTTCCTTTATCTAGCATCAATAATCATTGTAGTTAATTCAGCAACACTCAATTCTCTATAGACTTATTACAATTTTCCAGTTCTTGCATCCCAAGTCTTAACACTATCAGGATGTAGAGTAATAAAACATGTAAGTGTTTAATTATATAATACTTTTAAACACATTTTCTCATCTGTCAACATCTAATCTTTAGGTTCATCATATTCATAAAAGAACATCTTTCTTGCACCTACAACAATTTGTTTTTTTGGATAGGTTAATGTAAATGCTTAAATTTCATCTGCAGGGACATTAAATGTTTAAATTTATAAAAAGTTTCTGACATCCCATACTTTCACCATACCTGAAATATCTGCTGTAACTACTTAAGATGTTCTAGGTAAACATTTTACTCCAACTAATGGATGATTATGACCTCTAAGTAAGAAAATCTTTTCTTTTACGTATGTATTCCAAACAAATGCTTCATGATCTAATCCAGCACTAATTAAACATTAATTCATAGGACTCCAATCACTCCAATCTAAACTATATACACCTTTTTCATGTCCTCTTAATTCTTTTTTAGGTTAATGAGTAGCACTATCCCATAAACAAATGTTACCATCTAAACCACCTGTCACTAGAGTATTTTATTAATCTATTGCTAAAATATCACCAATAGGAGAAGAATGACCATATTATTAGGAATCTCTTTTAATAAAAGGATTCCAACCTGATAATGTTCCTCTTTCTTTTAAATCATATGTATCATATATATGAATTATAGAATCTGATCCTCCTGTATATAAGAAATTAGATTATGATGAACTCCATCTTGCATATCTCATACATAATTAGATTTCAGGTACAGAGAGTATTTATTTTAAATTAAAACTACTTGAATCCCAAAAATTTATTGTTAAATCATTACTGCTACTAGCAATTAAATTTTAATCAGGTATAAATTCTGCAGACAATACATATCCTTTATGAGCATTTACATTCCATATTAATTCACTTGTATTAGAGTTATATACCTTAAATTTTGGAGACTCTTTCTCTAATACTAAAAGCATTTTCAATCTGTCAAAGAAATATACTCTATCAATCACAGTCTCATGTTTCTGTTCATCTTTTATATTTTCTGCTGGATGATAACTTTTTATTACATCTTTAAATGATCTATCATTTCTTAATAATCCTAATTCAATAATGTGATTGCTAAATTCAACCCATTCCATTGTACCATCACCATTAACATCTATTTCTTTAAATAATTCTATTAATGCTAATGTTATTTTCTTAGTCTCCTCTTTTGAATCTTTATTGTAATCCAAATGCTCTAACATGACTTTCAGAAACTGTTAGATTGTCAATCCTTATCCTTTTGAATTTTTATCTGGGAAGCATCTTTCTATAACTGCCATTTTCTTCTTATGTAATTTCTCCATAATATCTATTTCTTTTTTTTCATAATCCTGATCATAATCCTCATAATCTTAGTTCTTCATTATTAATTACAATTATTAACAATAATAATTTAATTATAAATATATATTAAATTTGTAACATTCAATAAATATTATCTTAATATTCATAATCTAGTAAATGTTCATATTGAAATATGATAAATATTTATATAAAATGAACATTTTGAAAAATTTATTATTATTTAATAATAATATGTAAAAAAAAGAATAGAACAAAATTATACTATTATAAAAAAATCACTTTTTACATGGAAGAGAAGAAATTCTAACAGATATAATCATTAAATATGCAAATTAATAATTTAGTTTCAAAGCATATAATTAGAAAATCCATTTTTCATATGAAGAATTTCTATAAACAATCAAAATTCTTTCATAAACTAATTCCAAAATATTTGGTTGTTATAATGAGATTTAACAAAGTAAGACAGATGAAGAAGAAATATAAAATATTTAATCAGCTTTACAATATTATTAAGACATTTTCATATATAAAGATAATCAAATTTTGTTAATTGATGAATATCAAAAATATTAGAGATTGGAGTTAAAAAGTAAGATATTAAAAGAAAAATAAAAGATGTTGCCTATTTCTAATTTTTATAAAAAGAAAAACATCTAATTAGCTAAATTCCAACCGTTAACTATAATAAAATTAGAATAAGATTATTGTATATTATACTAAACATGCAATTAATATTATCTCAAATTCCAGTAATCTAAAAGAATTACTAATAAACTTAAAATATTACCTATAGTATAATAAAAATTTGGGAAGATTAATAAGGATAATTTTTATGATATATTCTCAATTCAAAATGAACAACTTGACTATTCTGATTATATTTATAATCTTCTCTAAAATGTTAGAGAACTTAAAATAGATAATAAATTTCTATCTGCTGTAATTCGAATTTAAAGATTTGTGCTTAAAAGATAATTCAAATTTAAGTTGTCTATAATTTATAAGAAATAAAAGCATTAAATTTTATGGAGAAAATCTTTAATTTGGGAAGGCAGTGCTTTTTTTCTTCTTATAACATTGAATCGAGATATTCATAATAATTAAACAATATCTATTGAAGGAAAATAATTGGATCATTCTTTAGGAAGAGATGTTTATGGATTTTAACAAAAATTATTTTTACAATATGATATGAGAGATATATTAATTACATCCAATAAAATGTTATAATAAGTTGAAATTGTACATGATGGATCAAATTTGAGACTTAAATCAGAATAATTTGATTAAATATATGGTAAAATATTCTAATATGAAAATTTTGATATAGAGCAAACATTGAATTTAAGAATTCAATAGTCAAATTCATATAGAAATTAATATATTTAAAATGGGTTTCTTAATCATTTACCAATTAATAATTCAGAATAAAATAAACTTGATTCAAAAAAAATTAAAATCCTATTTAAAGTTTTTTATTTTTATTATAGGAAACATAAACTATTAAATATTATCAAATATACCTCAAAAGATATTAGATCATTTCCTATTTATTTTTTAACTGAATCAGAAATGGCAAACTTAACTAATAATAAAGAATAAGATACAATTATGTAATAACATTCAGAAATAGAAATACATGAAATAAAATATAAAAGTCTCGAATATCAAACAAATCTTAAAGAATTAGATTTTATTCATTCAATAATATTTGAATAAGATAACATCCAAAATTACTAATATAAAGTAAGTATTTATAATTCTAAAGAATTCTTCAAAGAATTGATATTGTAAATTTAAAATATAAATTTATTCCATAAATTTGTTATTTTAAGCATTACAAATATGAAGTTTAACAAAAAGTTGATAGAAATTGTTAATTAAATAGATTCTACTTTAGTTTTAAATTCATTTCATTTTAATAATGATATTTTGTAGGAAATAGTAAAAAATCTTATGATTTTCAAAATTCAAAGAAGAGTTAGATTCTTCTAATTTATTTAGCATTATCATATGAGAAATTCAAATTTTCTATTAAGAATCTCATATATATTTTCTTAAAATCAATATTACAAAATAATCTTCAGATATAAAAATAATAAAATTAGAATAATTTTTAATTAATAATTAGCTTTGTTAGATTTAGTTAAGTTAGCAAACTTTTATTCCTTAACTAAATCACAATAATCATTCTATTAGATACCAAGCTTTTCATAATTCTTAAACATTTAAAACTCAACTAATTAAAATGATTATAGATTTAAATTAAGTAAATTAATCAATTTTCTCGAAAGCATTATTAAGATCAGACATAATTCCTTATATTTTTCTTTAAAATTGCCAATATCTCAGAATAAATAAAAATGTCTTAAATCAAAATCTTATACACCAAACTAAGTTTTAAATCAAAAAATAATAATCATTTAAAGATTCTATAGATTAATATTAACTTAATCTTTTTTTAAATTACTTTTAAAAGCACAATCAAAAAAGTAAAATAAGTTGAGACATTAATGTATAAGAAAAATTAGAGGAAAATATTATAATATTTTTTGTTATGAAATATCTTCAAATGAACTTTTAACTAAAGTAATTCAATATAAAGATATGAGTAATAATTTCTAAAAGAGTTTCAAATTTAAAGAATCTGATTTTATAAATTTTCAACAAATGAACAAATATTAATTCTTTGCCAATTGCATAGATTTGGTTAATGGTGAGATTCAATACATTTTAGAGAATTATTAAGTGTAAAAATCTAATGAAGATATTTAGAATGATTGTGAATATTAAACCTTATAAGATTAATCATATCATAGATAGATTCGATCAAGATTAATAAATACTAAAAGAGAAAGAAATGTATTATATAATGTTGTTTATTCAAATCGAAAGATAATTAATTCTTCTTGTGATTCATTTTTAATAAATATCAACTTAAAATAAATGAGAAATGTGTATCATTCTGAAGATAAACATACCTTAATTAAAAATGTAGCAGAAACAAGTCTAGATAATATTAAATATGAAAATAACAATCTAAAAGTAAATATATCTAAGATTATACCTGAAAAACTGAAATTCTCTTAAAAACCTAGATTTTAAGCTTGTTAAAAAATATTAAAGTAAAAAGCCCAGGTAGAGGTCTTGTATAAGACAACTTAAAGATTTGAAAATCAAAAGTATTTATTATAAATTTAATTTGTAATCGAGTAGGCCAGATCAATAATACCAATAGAGAAGGATAACCATTTTGGATTATTCTAAACAGAATTTAAAATTTTAGCCATTAATATGAAAACAAAGTTAGAAATAAATTGGAATATATCATTTGAAAATGCAATAACTTTAACATCTAAAACATAAAAAGAAGAAATAACAAATGCTATAATTTCAAACCTTTCTTTATTAAATGATAGATTCTTATTTGTGACATCTAAAACAGAATTTAAAGTTGAAAATGTTATATTTATTAACTTAAAGTGTATTCATGCAATTTAAAAAGTTTGTAGAACAAGAAAGTTTAATAAAAATTATTAAATGTACAAGTATATTAAAAAGGTGAAATCTCAAATTATACTTCATACTACTTATTAAGATTATATCATAATATTTTAAATTTCAAGTTAAATAATATATAATTAGTCTATTATGTTATTTATATGGGAATTGTAGAATTTTAACATGAAAAAAATTGAAGTGTAATTAAAAAAAGTATGATATAAATAACAAATCTAGTATTTACATTTTTGGAACATAAGTCCCTAAGCTTTTGCTAAAGCTCTTTTACATTTAATAGTAATTACAAATGATAGAATATTTTTTAAAAAGTTTAATGAATTAGAATTCTAGAATAAATTTGAAAGATATTTGAACTGATTGCATAAAACAGTTGAATTTTATTGTATCCATAAGAATATATATGCAATAAATTGATTTATGTAAAATTCATCCAAATTAAAAATATATTAATTATTTTAAACATGGTTGAACTTTACATTCATTTAACGGTTTCAAAAATTAAATGTGAAACTCTTTGGGAAACTTCCTCCTTCTTCTTATATTAAAGGCATCTATGCTTAATTTTTTACAAAAAAATAATTATCTATTTAATGAAAATTCCTAATAAACCAGAAATCAAAATATAAATTTAAGCAAAGCCTAAAATTATTTTATTTTCTTCGCTAATTAAATAATTGTAATCTGTTAAATGAAATATTGATGTCAAAGTAAAGGTTATAATTGAAATTTCTAATATAATAATTTAAATTTTATCCAATTTTTCTAAATTGAATTCTACAAATATTAATAAACATAAATATATCATATTTGTTGTAGTTAACATTATTAATTAAATTAATGAATGATTTTGAAAACATATTAGGAAATAGCAAAAAAAAAATTGTTTAAGTAAGTATACTGCCTTATATCTATAATTTAAGTTATAGTTTTTTCTTGTAAAGCCTCTCTTTAATGATGAGATAATAAACTTTCCTGCAATAGCCAAAGTTAAATAAGATATAATAGTTTATATTCGAGAAATAATATCTTAATTTGATGAGGACTCTAAATATGAAAATGTTTTAAATAGTAAATCCCAAGCATTTGCTAATAATAAACCCTCTCCTCCATCTTAATAAAATTAATACACAAAAATCATTATAAAATGAAAAAAAATATATATCCAATTTAGTGATTTAATCAGTATCTTTGATTTTAAAGATCTTAGTTTAAAAATAAGCAAATGTTAAAATTGGATTTTATGGATTAATCTAAAAAGGATTTAGCATATGACTTTTAATATTATTACAAATATAAAGGTTAATATAACCTAAATGACGAAAAATTGTAGATTAGTTATTAAATGAGCATTTAAGTTATAAAACTTTAATTTAGCATAAGACTCAATAAAGTCTTAATATTGAAATATTTAATAAAATTGACTAATTTTTAAAAGATCTAAAATTGGAATGATGCTTATTAAATTAGTTGTTTCAAAAAAGATGTAGAGATTTTCAGGATAAATAATATTAGTGTACTTTAAATATGATTGATACTATAAGTTATCCAATATTTCAACAAAAAATTAGAAATTTCCAGAAATTAATACTACAACACTTCCAATTCCTTAAGCTATAATCATAATTTCTTAATATTAAGAGAGTTGTTTTGTCTTTTCAACATCAGATTAACTAAGTTTAGTATATTATTTGAGTAATATTTATTCAGATGGATTTATTAATTTCATATCATATTAATTAAATACCTCATTCAGCAGAGATATTTATAAACTTATTAGACTATTATTAGTTGTTAAAAAGAATTCTATTTCTATCTAAAATTAAAAGTTTAAAATTTAATTAATAACTGGCTTGTAATTGGATACTAATTTTGTTGCAAAATCTTCTGAACTTGCTTCATTAACACTAAATTCAAAAAGAGATTTTAAATCATAATTATCCCTAAAATAAATTTTTTATGAGAATAAAACCTAAATATAATATTTATTATATGTTTAATTTAAGAATTAGACTATCATATAAGGAGATTCAAAGTATTAACATTCTGTGTAACTATTAGTTTTGTCTTAACATTTATAATCAATTTCAATTTTACAATTAGAAGAACAACCATCTACATTATTAATATTTTAATCATCACATTCTTCATCATAAGATTTTATTCCACTTCCACAACCATCATAACAAGTATTTTAAATTAATTAAAAATATTATTAACACTCTAAACAGATTCCTTCTTCACAATTTAAACAATATTTAGGACAAGAATATTCACAATTAAAACATCCATCAAATTATATATTATTTCCATCATCACATTATTCTTTTTATTATTTTATTCCATCACCGCAAATTGAATAGCAAATGCCATCAATATTAATCTCTCCATTTAAACAATTATCATGACATATTCCATTAATACATTTCTAACACTCTGTTAAACATATTAATTAACATTCATTATTAATTTCAACATAAGGCTACTCACAAATAAGACATTTTTTTGAATTAATACAAATTTAACAATTTTCTGGACAAATAAATTTACAATTTACACAATCATTTAAATCTGAATCACATTCTTCTTTAGATAAAATAGCTACTTAATTATCTCCACATATTTATTGACATATTCCATCAATAAGTTACCATCCTTAAATACAAGAAAAACAATATGAATTCTAACATTAAAGACATTAAATTTGACAACTATCATTACATTTATAGCATCCAATTTCAATTAGACTCAATTGTAGTTCATCTTTAAATAAAAGTGCTCCTTTTGTAATTTAAGTAATACATAAATTATTTAATAGAAAATAATCAACCAAACATTTTTTACATTTTCCATTTTCACAAATTTCACAATATTAGGGACATTAAAATACTATATTTTACTTTTAAATTCCAGATATTTCAAGATTATATGTAATGTCATAATCATCACAATAAGTAACATCAGAAATCTGATTTTCATTTATATCTGATCTAATACAATTTAGAAATCTAAATTATGTTTGAAATTCCAAACATTTACCATTTATTAATTCATATGTTGGACTACAATATTAACAAACTCCAAAATTGCATTCTTAACAGTTTAATGTACATTAGAAATTACAATTATAACATCCATCATTTGAAATGTTATTTCCATCATCACATTATTCATCCTATTGAACTTTTCCATCCCCACAAATGACAATTTCAGTTTCCTCTATAAAATATGAACGTTAATTATAATCAACTTAAATTTAATCTTATGGTAATTTTTCATAATTTCGATTACATATTCCATTAGAGTAATGATATCCTAAGTCGCATGTCTAACATTAACCAAATTAACAATTTTTGCAATTCTTAGGACATGAAAACTAACACTCATGACACCCATCATAAGGGATGTCATTGCCATCATCACATAACTCATTTCCTGTGATTATTTTATCTCCGCAAGATGGTTCACAATTTTTATTTAAACTATTATAATCCCAACTAGTATCACACATCAGACATTCTCCTTTTACACAAAATGTACACCCTTCCAAACATGATTCTTACTTAGCAAAACAACCATCAAAAGGTACTAAATTATTATCAATACATTAAATTAAGTTTATTGGCCCTCGAAGAATGACTGACAATTCACGAATGCCCACTGTGCCATCTACGCTATATATATCTAATTTAATTTGATTTTTAGTATCATCAATTACCAATGTTCTATAATCAACCTACTTTTTATAACTAGTAAGTCCATATTTCCGTTCATTATCGATGTAAACTCTAACTGTTATGGGCATAGCTGAAAGATATTCAATTCTAAATTGTATTATTAAGGAAAGATGATCTGGTAGTGTAAGATAAGTTATTGCAGAATCCCGTTGATTTAAGACAAGCATTTTAAGTTAAACTCTAATTACTTTACATACTTACAATCATTGGTTTATGATGTAAAAGTAGGAAACTTATTCTTAATCCAACCTTCAAGACCATCATCAAGGTTCTGTAGTTGAAAAAATGATTTCCACAATATCCACATGATACAATCAGTTGTAGAATCTAAACAAAACTGGCATCCTAAGTAACATTCATTTAACGTTATAGAGAAATTAGTAAGTCCCCAAAAGTTCTTAAAATTAAAAAATAACTAATACTGTTGTTGAACAATCTGAGTATAATTCTACAATTATTGAATTTAATGTATGTAGAGGGAAATCATTATATTATGAAGAACTATAGTCCGAACCAGTATCAGCACATATATTTGATCCTGTATTATCTGTAAAATACCAAGATTAAGTCCATTAATCTACAATTATATAAAAAAGCTATGCACTTGGCCAATCATCAATTCTTAAGATATATTAATATTAAAACTTCCAAAAGTTGATATCTATACGCACCTTGTAATGAGGTGGAAGCATGAAATATTTCATTATTTAAGTTTTTGTTGACAAATAACATCCAAATTTCTGATATCCCCCAAAAATTATGTTTCCTCCACAATCGTATGTATGAACAGTAGCTCCATTGTAAGGGTTTTTAATTAACCATCCTAAATGAATATGATAGTCTTTACCCTCGTCACCAGAAATTGTTGAAGTCACAAAATGCTAAAGATGATACGCTTCAACAATTATTCCTAAAAAATGAAAATGGAAGAACCAAATAAACATTAAATAATTATTAATGTATGAAATACTAAAAATAAGTCTGATATCATCAATGGTATATGACAAAACAAACTGAAATGCTTGTTATTCTTAATGATAATAATTAACCAAAAGTATTGTCATTGATTATACATATTTTATCCTAAAGGTTTGATTTCAATTACTGTAACAGAATTCTTAGATTAAAAATTTTTCATAGTCTTTTTCAAATAACAAAGTTTTTATATTATATTTTATATTACATATTTACTTGCATTTTAGTGTAGTATTATAAACATATCAATTTTCAAATGATGCATTTTCTGAGAACGTGTAAATTTGTGTGAAAAAATTCATATTCATAATCAAAAATAAGGAGAATTTATATAAATTAATTGATGTTAAATATATATGAAATTCTTAAGCTATGAGAATGTTTACATATATATCATTACTACACTTTAGAAGTATGAATTTCCATTTAATATATTTTAGGAATGATTAGCATGTGATTATTAATTTTATATCAATAGGTAAAGCTAATAGGATAAATTCGTATTGATTAATTAAAGAATATTCCTTGTAGTTTATTGATATCAGAAATAGAATCACTTCAAATTTAATTTTTGATACGTTTCTTATTCTTTTTCAAATAAACATATAAAAATATTTATAATTATTAATCAATACATTTCTATTATATGAAGAATTAAAATATATATTTAAAGTATAATATGTGGGAAATTATATATAAATCTGTTTTAATTAAGATTTTAAAGCGTGCATCATTTGTAATTATTTATTAATTGTTTCCTTTTTTTGGCAAAAATTAATTCTACCTTAATTCAATTTTATATTAGCCTGATTTTTCTTCACTATGAAATAATTATGTTATTATTCTGCCAGTGATGTTCAGATTATTTAATTTAAAAGAAAAATTAATCCATTTCTTTTTTAACTATAATATTATTCTTGCTTAATTTAAATTATTGAATTAAGAACTTGTTAGACCAATATTTATCTGCTAATAATCAATTACACAAATATAAATGTAACTTGAGATTTAGGTTTTATCTGATAATTGTATAGTAAATAATTACATAATTTAAATAATGATCATATAATATTATTTCCAAACTCATTAATTGAATCGATTAATCTCAAAAATGAAATTTAAGGTTGATATTTTCCTTCTGAAAATTTTACTAAAACAATAGAATGTAAAAATTATTTAACTTAATTCTCTTTAATTTTTTTATTTGATTTAATTTAATTCAATAATATTTTTTAATCAGCGTCAAATGTAAGCAAATAATACTTATTCTATTTTCTAAATCTTTCCTCTAAAATTCACATGAACTTAACGATAATAAATGTTGCCCATTAATAAGACTCATTGTGAATTCACTTGTTTTTATCATTAACTCAGATTTTCTTATTGTTCCAATAATTAAGATTTGATTCTAAAATTAGTTGTGTAGTTATTCATATATTTTTTACAAAAATCATTTTCTCCTGAGCTTATAATAAAAGAGACTATTTGATTTCAAACTGAAAGAAATTTCTGACATTTTCTATACTGCTGCTGTTCCATTCAATGAATTAAGAAAGTAGTATTGAACTATCAATAGATCGAATTCTGTACATATAAAATAATTATTTTTCAAGCATTCAATATGATATTATAATATTGTCAATTATAATTATTAAACCGGCAATATTTAATGGAAATTCTAATGAAATCCTGATAAATTCATACATTACATTATGTTATTATTTATATAATTTTTAATAATAAATCTGATTCTCAATTAGTTAAAACCAACTAATGGACTTTTTTGGTTTTCTATTAAAATGTATATATTATTGAATTAAACAATTAATTCGTTCTAAAGAATAAAGTCTTTTATTTTATATTTTGGATGGACAATCTGTTATGAATGGAATACTTGTAATGATTCCATTTCTTAAAAATGTTGTTCATTAAAAATTATAAAATTTTGTAAATAAAAATCAGATGAAATGGATAAATCGGTTTTATATACCCATTTCTTAAAGGATTATTGGTACTGATGCTTACATTGGAGGAGGTCCACAAATCAAATATCTTTAATAATCCAAAGTTTTCCCCAAAAATTTATCAAACATTTATTTACTAAATCTCTCCTCAATAGTTTCTATTCCTTCAATTTTATCTTTTATTTTAATGATCAATCTCAAAAATGGTTTATCTAAATATTTTTATAATTAAATTATTGGAAATAAAATATCAGATCCAATTAATTCTGTTTTATTAGCAGCAGCAAAAAATAACGTGATATGAATATTTGGATTGAATTAACAATCATAAGGATTTAAATTATCAGCAGTTTACTTCCCAAACTTATTTAAGGCAATTTAGTAGATGACAGTTTTTAGAAGAAAATCTAATAAATCTAAAAATGGAAATATTCCAGTTCCTCCACAAATAATAACAATTTTGCCACTATTTGGTATACCATGAGGTGGTCCATAAGGTCCCTAAATATCATACATTTCATCCTTATGATTATGAATATATTAAGAGAAACCATTTTTAGATTCATAATACTTAATTATTAGAGGTAATTCCTTCAAGTATTTTGGCTATTAAGGAACTTTGGCTTACTATTTTGTTGTATAGACATAGTCAATATATTTAACAAGTTCTTTTCTATAAGCAACATTCTCAGGAGCCATTGAAGCAATACATGTATATTGTCTAATTGGAGTTTTTTTAGATGAACTCGATTATATTTGAAAATACTTACCAAATGAATGAATAGTAGTGAATTGAGATATTATATTATATTTAGGATTAGTGAATCCAAAATAGCTTGTTTTATCATTTAATTTTGTTATAGTTTCTAATTTCCACAATGTACTAGTATTTTCATCAATAGGAATTGTGAATTTAATAGTATTTAATGATCCAATTACATGATTTTTCAATAATACAACAGCATTTTTAGAATGAGGATACTATTTGGCTGTTCCATCTTCTAATCCACAACCACCATAAATAAATCTAGATACTTCTCTACCTTTTACACATTCCCAAATATATTAACCCCCTGGATGTGAAAATCCTGTTAAATCAATGATTTCATCATTAAAAATCAACCAAAGTTTATTCTGAAATTCATTATATATATGTGATTATTCTAATTTATTAGAAATATAATATACCATTCTATTCAATATATTAAATTAATAATGAATCCTATAGTGTTCCAGAGTGTTCTTTTGGAAGTTGATTCTGTTTTTTAAGTATTAAATATATCATTCCATTTTGATAAAACATTTCAAAAATGATTCTCCACAAAAAAATAAACCCATACACACACCAAAAAGATATTATATCGCCTTTCCCATTTTCTTTCTAATTTTGATAAGTCATATAATATCCAAATCCTAATTAGATTTTCCCAAGAAGATAAATTGTGTATCCCAAATAAATATGCATTAAGGATTTTATTTTTAGATGTGTCTAAGTGTTCACTGATTGAATACAAAACTTAATTATAACGCCTCCTAACATTTGAAAAATCATCAAGCCCAAAAATGTATATCCAATTATATTATGTAATCCCTATAGATTTTGGTTCCCATTAAGAGGAGGAGTATTTCCTGAAAATATCATAAATAACTCTGCAATGATTGAAGGTAAAACCACAATACTCATTATGATAGCATGAATATCATATTTGTTTTTTAACAGAATACCATATCTATTTGCAATTATCCCAAGATCAACTAAAATTGCCCATCCAATGAAATTAGTATATTAATGGAAGTAAAAAAGGACATATTTATCTTTACTTTAATCTTCCTAATAGTTGACATCATAAGGATCTTACTAGCTTCTAAATGATTCTTATAAAAATGAATTTTATGGATATTAATTGTGCTCGCTTTAACAATAAGCCTTCTTTATTATAAATGCAAATAGCAGCAAGTTAGTCAACATTGTATATTATTATTTAATTAGATTATATATTCTCTTTAATATTGTTTTAAAAGAAAAATGATGTCATATAATGTCATCAAATAGGCTTGGTACATTTTAAAAGTCCATAGTCAAATTACGTAATCAAGAATTTTATAATACTAACGATAATTTTATATTATTATTTATAAACTAATTTGCATAACCATATGTGAATATAAAAGAATTATATTTTAAATTCTTTGGTTCCAAATGATGATATAAACCAATGAATTAAATCTTTAAAGAATTTAATCAAAAAATGATGTTTCATAATATCAAATATTAAAAACTATCTAATGATGTCAATTATTAAATGAATCAAAATAACTGCTACAAAAAATATTATGGATTGATTATGGAAATATTCTTTTACATTTTAGTACCTCAATTTCTCAATAAAAATTTCTAATCAGTAAGAATTTCTTTCAAGGTCTTTTTATAAAATAAGGTAATAAAATTTATTAAATGAACTTCAAATTTTAGTAAATTACAATCTAAATTAATAAAACACGAATAGATTAAATAGAGAGTTTATGAAATCAAAAAAAACCTAAATTATTTATAATATTAACTGGGTTTACCTATCTTCTCTCTTTGATTTATAGTTTAATATATTAAATATTCCTAACATTAAAAACCCTCGCAAGCAAAAAAAATTATACTTAGATTATCTATTTATACATATATATTTTTATCAAATGTTCATGATATAAATAATTTTTATTCATATCAAATAAATCCACTTTTTTTTCCCCTAAGAAATAACCTCTAATAATTCAAGTTATAAGTATCTCTATTGTTTAAGGTATCGATTATTAAATTATTTAATATTATTAATGATAAATAATCAAATGATAAATAATATATTTGTTTATCTAATATGATTAATGAGTCATAAACTAATAAAAAATATGAAAACTTACTTAAGAATCATCACTTTTAATCAAAACCTTTTATTGGAAAAATATCTTTGTATATTCCTAAACCCTCTTCTTAGCTATGCGATTAAAATTTATTTGAAATAGTTCTTAATTATTAATAGGATGATATTAGTTATTCTTCAATATTGAATTAAGAGAAATTCATTTTATAATTTAACATAATGATTAAACAAACTATGCTATTCTTGTTTTCAAAAACACAACTTGCCAATTTTTTAATTTAGCTAAATCCAAATCTTTCAAGAAATTAAAGATTCCTTTGCTTAAAATCCTTAGAGCATATTGACTTTGACGCTAGTTATATTATAGAAAGTTATTGAATTGTTTACAGAAAAATAAAATGAGAAGATGGAACTAGTACAACATATAATTAATCACCCAATTAAAATAATTGAAATAGTATTTGAATAAATTTAGGAATTGAAATCAAAATTATTTGAGTAAGTTATTCTCAATATAGTTTCTAGGAGTGGTTAGAAAATTTCAAACTTAATTAAGAAAACATCTCAACAATTAATAAAAATTATTATAAAAGAATTTTGTAAATTAATTAATCTTCGAAACAAAAAGTGGTCTATAAATAAAAAAATAAATTCAATTATAAAATTATGAGACCTATTATTGATAGTTAAACAGTTTAGAATTAGATTATGTGGAATATAATTAAGATATAGAAAATTTAGAATAACAAATTCAACTCAAATCTCTTATAAAAATCAAATTATTGATTTAGGATGAAAAACAAATGGTATAAGAAGAAAAAATAAACTTTAAGTTAGTTGATTAATCTGTAAAGTCAAATGCTGAAATTAATACAATTGCTTTTAATTCTTCTGGGTCAATTATGATATAAAATGAAGAGAAATATATTAAAGTTCAGAGATTCAATGATGGAATAATAAACCTAATAACAACTTTAACAGAACATAGTGATTGGATTTATTGTTTAATTTATAGTAAGAAGCTTAATTCTTTTATTTCAAGTTCAGGTGATAATACTATTAGATGCTGGAAATAAATAAATTTAAATGATTCAATTATTTTAAAACGTCATTAACGCTAAACACATTGGGTGATGTGTTTAATCATAAGTTCAAATAAGGATTTGCCTTTTTCTGGAAGTAGTGATAAGTTAATTATTGTATGGAAGGTAGATTTTAACAAAAAATGAATTGTTTCATATGTATTCATAAAATAAACATAATACCACAGTTGTTTGAATTAATCAGAAACTTACTGGAAATTAATTAAAATGATTAGTTTGAATTTTAATATTTTGTTATAAATGATGAAATTTATAGAAAGTAATGATAATTTAGAATAAATGTTTATTAAAACAAATAATTGAATTAAATTTGTTTATCAATTCATCTATAATAGTCGATCTAAGCAGAAGGACTAAAACTTAAGTTCTTAAAGAGGATTAGTTTATATGAATATCTGGGGGTCAAGAATTAGATTAAATCATTTGTTTTTGAATTAAAGGAAGGAATTTTTTCACAAAAATAGTAGAAGACTATTTATTTAGGGAGAAATAATAAAGTTAATGATGAATATCAATTTCCAATAATCTAAAATCAATCGAGTAAGTTTATATTAATAAGGCATAATACATTCATTTATATTATCATAGAAAATAAAAATTAAATGCATTAAATAGTTAATCAATAAAACTGTGATTCTTATGAAATTAATGGAATGGTTACAGATGATCGAAAATATTTAGTCTATTGAAGTAAAAACTATTCAGCATTTGAATTATTAAACATATGAATATATTACAATGGTTGTTTATCATTATGATTGTACATTTTAGTTTAGAATGATCTCTTTATATTTTATTCAAAATCAAAAAGGGAAAGATTTTCTGTAAGTTCTTGAGCATGAAGTATATAATTTTGAAAATATAACAGATCATCAAAATTTTGATATTTTTTTTAATTTTAAACAAAATAGTTTTATTTCAATCTCAGGCTTAATTCTTTTAGCAGCGAGGAAAAACTATGCCCTTAGTAATAAATTATGAATAATTATTATTTCAAGTGAACTTTATTTCTAAATTTTTGTATAATCATTTGACACTTCAAATTAGTTATGGAATGATTTTTACTTAATTTTTGCTACTTTAAATTTCAATAGGTTGCAATTCATTCCTTTAATCTCTTAAAATTCTGTAATCAAATGAATTTATTTTAACAATTAAAAACACTATATTGAATATGAATAATAATTAATTGATAGAGAATTCATCATTTTTTTTATTACAATTCATTTTTTAATATTTGAAAAAAGTTTTTTTATTGCTCATAGCATTTGAGGTTTTAAAATCTTTTAATATCTCTTTACATTATTTTGCAATGTTTTAAGATTTAATTGTTTTTTTAGCCTTTTGTAATATTAAACTTAAATCTTCTTTGTAAATCATTGAAGCTTAGGTTAATTATTTCAGAGTTTGCTAAATTAATGAATTGAAATTTTAAGGAGAAAACTTTATAAGAAAATAGGATGAAAGGAGATACTTTGGTATCTATTGTAGCTAAGTTAGATAGTTAGATAAAAGATGTCAAAATATTTTATAAAACCTTGCTATTAGTGTATACATTAAGATAGGCAATATAGTTTATAATGCATTATTTTCAATGGATGCTTCTTAGTGGACTGAGGTTAGTGGGTCTTAAGAAGATGAGAAATGTTAAGGGGTTTTATACTTAACGTAGTGTATTATCACTCTCTTTCATCCTATTTTATAACAGGCCTTTAGAGCCCTTCTAATGTTTAATTCTTACAACTTTTAACTTTTCTCCATGGTTAATGGTCGAAAAAGACACCTTCATATTTAGTTTTTTTTTGGATAATAATTATCAAATAATTGTAATTTTTAAAATGGAATCTATAACTATTTTGGTGAAATTATAATATAGAAATAAATATAATTTTGAAGTTAAGCTATTCTTAGAGAAATATCTTCTTTTACTTCTGAACAATCTTTATGATGGTGTTCTGTTGTTTAGATTCTAAAAGTGGGTGGATTTTTCTCTATTGAACCTCCATATTGTTTAGAAGAATATATCCTATAAAAAAATATTATTTAAAATTACACAATAAATTTTATTAACCAATCCGTCATCAAAAGGCAGAAATCTATTAAAATAAAAAAATGCTTTAATTTTATAAATCCTTACTAAAAGTATGATCTCTAATAAAATTGCCATATTGTAAAACTCTAACAAAATATATATACCATCCGCTTTATTTGATGATTAAGTATTCTAAAAATGTCTTATTATTTTTTTCTTGCATTTCATCTTTGAATTTGAAATCAAAATGGATCAATTGTGAAAGCTGATATGTAACAGTCATACCAGAAGATTCATTTAATTCGAGCAAATGTTATCATGTTCTGTTAAATTTTTCATTTCAAACAGGTTTTTTTTTAAGAAGAGTTCATTCAAATATGTCGTGAAAATTTAAATTTTCAAACAAAATCAAAAAATTAATTCACATTTTTGTTGCAATTTTTTTTACATAAATAAATTTTTTCTAACTGAATGAAAAAAAAAATTCAATTTATATCAATCTTGGTTTATAGAAAAATATTTCAGATAATAGATTTTAGTATTGAATTTTAAATGTTTTAGCAGGACGAAAAGGCTACTTTCTAAAATTTTATTTTCATTTTGGAATTTGGGATGATAATAATAAGTAAAAATTACAAATATTTAGTTAATCATATAGTAGAGATTATGTAAATTTCATAATTTCTATAAACCTCCACCCTTCATTATGAATATAGCTATATCTGTCTATTAGACAAATATACTATATATGAATTTAGAATTAAGTTAATTTCATTCATAATAATTATTAGATTTTATGATAGAAATTGAATAAATTGTAGATCTTATATCCCAAAATTTTGATAAGAAAAATGTAACTTTACAAATTTATAGTAGGAATAAGATTTTATCATGGATATCTTTATTTTAGGCAGTGTATTTAAATAAAATAAGATTGAAAATTATGAATTTTTTTAATACTTTTTGAATTAAATATTGAATGTAAGATAGCAAGTGAATCTTTAAATCATTAGTAACAATAGAATAAAAAAACTATACAACGAATATTATAATAGCAATGAAGATGTAAAAATACAAATAATATTCTAATTATTAGATTATTTAATTGTACTAGCAATTGGAAATGGAAATATATGATGAACCATCCAAGATCAAAGTTAAATAAATGGAAAAAGACGGAAAACAAAATAATATTTTACAAAATTTTTAATAGAATTAGATAGATTTTAATCTGAAATAAAAAAGCATAAAAAAACAAAATGATAAAGTTAAAGATCTTCTATTAGAAAGTAATTAATTAGGATTCAAGGAGCACAAGTAAAATTCATTTTTATAGAACTAGAAATTAGGCTGAAGAATAATAAGATCAAATAGTATGTTGAAACGCATAATGACGAAGTATTTGCTACATTTATTCTAGTATTCATGGTGTCCAACTCCAGATTGTTAATACGTATTTATTGCTGGAGATATTTATTTTAGTTGTCCAGTTTGTTTGAAAACATATTGTTTAAGTTGTAAGACAGAATATCATCATAATTTGACATGCGCAGAATATTTGAAAAATTAAAAACAATAAGAACTCGATGCTGTATATCAATAAAATTAATTTACTAATAATTTAAACAAACTACAATAGAACTAGTAATAAATGATATCCTTTCAAAATCCATAATTTCCTAACCTATAAAACTAATTTTAAAATTTAGCAACTGAAAAAAACTAATTTATAAAATCAAATAATTATCCAAATTTTCATTTGAATTCTTATACAAATTAGTATATTCCTCCTTAACAATAATTATAATTCGTGAATTTTTAACCTTTGTAACCAGCTTTATAAAATCCAATTGAAAAATAATAATAATTTGTGAATTTTTAACCTTTGTAACCAGCTTTATAAAATCCAATTGAAAAATAATAATAATTCATGAATTATTAATTTTTTGGCTCAACAGATTTACAATAAGTATAACTTCCTCCATTGAATTATAACATTCTTTTATCAGAAAAAAACAAATATTCATATTTTAATTAATAAAACCATATAGAGACCAAGAATAATGGGCTGAATTAATAATAATTAGATGACAAGTTTTTAAATTTAATGATGATATCAAAATATAAATAATGCCCTTAATGTAAAACTTGGGTTGAGAAGATATCAGGATGCGATCATATGACTTGCAGGTGCAAATTTTAATTTTGTTATGCTTGTGGAGGAATCTATTAAAAATGTGCATGCCTTAAAAGCAGAAATTAACCATAGATTTGATATTTAATTATCTAAAAAAAATTTACAAAAATTATCATTAAGATATTATTTTAATATCATTATTAAAATAGATTAATATAAACGATGATTTATATTTAAGGAATTTTTCTTTATTTTCAATTTTATCATCTAAAAGTAATAATTTATAAAAAATAACAAATCTTTTTAATTTATCACTAAAATCTCTTGTAAAAATGAAATCGCATTTTTCCCTTCGATTTGTTAGAAATTTATTGGATTATCTTTGTTAATAATGCGATTCTAATATTCTAAAGGGTAAGTTTTAGAAATAATTGATGATAATTTTGAAATTAAGCATTATTGTTTATTTAGATATTCTAAAGTGATTTCCCTCTTAGTTATAATTATTTTTAGAATTCTAATGTATTTTGCGGAAATTTCTGACTAATAAATAATAAATCCATCTCCCCAAAAATAAAAATAATTAAATTTTCTAACTTTAATCACAAATTGCATATATAATCAACTCTCATCTCAAATATCTTTAGAGTGTTAATTTACAAATTTTCGCTTTTGATAAAATTTAAGAATTATATCTGCTATTTTTAAAGAAAGTCTAATTTTAGCATTGACATTAAACTTTGTAAATTTTTGGAAATAATACTAAATTATGTGAATAAATATAAAATTTCTTCGACACCATTATTTAAAATGTAGGTTGGCTTAATTCTAGATATTTACCTTCGATCTGTAAGTATTGTAGAAAAAGGGAAAACTAGATAAATATAGCGAATCTATTAGATAGTAATAGAAAATAGTAACTTTTTTATTTCTTATTAAAACATTTAGATATTTATACCATTTAGTAGATTTCATTATCCTCATTTCAAATCTATATAATATAGTAACTCATCTATAAAATCTATAATCAAATGTATGCTTGAAACTATTATAAAATGTACTTTTTGCATAGTAATATAAAGACTTTAAAAAATAAACAATTTTTGACTAATTTTATTACTTAAAAAAATATTCAATATATTTCTAAATCCAGAAGATCTCTTTATACTTATTCTAAATCTATATAATATGTTAACCCATCTAAAAGATTTATAACCAACAGTATGTTATTTTTAATGCAATTTTTGAGTACCTTAAGATGTTATAAATTATACTATTTCAAATATCAATTAATAGACCTAAATCCTGTGATTGACAATACATTAAAATTAAAATCACATTTAAAAATTTTAGAACAGATTATATAATCTCAGGTTTTATTTATTTTTTCAATTTAGGACACCTAATTAATGGAAAGTATATATTATTAATTTTACTATTCTAATTACTGAAGTAGTTATGAAAAGTCAAACAATATTAGCAAAAAGTTACACTCTTCGTGATATACCCCCTTACAATATCCAAATCTAATTATTTCCTTATGTTTTATCAGCCTTTTTCCTTAAGAAATCCTTTGTTTTTTATTTTATTTTTTACAATTTTAGTAGAAACTTATAACTTTATTTTAATCTTAATCTCAGAAAAAAAGAAAAGAAATTTATCTACTTTTTTCTGACATAAAAAATGTAAATAAATACATTATTAAGCAGTCCTGTTTCAGCTGATTTCAAATCATAGTCTTCTATCTATAAAATATCTATCCATTTAATTTTTATATTAAATATGTTCATGAATAGAATCTGAAGATATTTACTAGACAAATCTGAAAATGAATAAATGTAAAAATTTTATGAGGATAAAATAAGGTAAACTATTTTTAACAGTATTTTTTTATAAACTTAAACTATACTTTTAATGTAACACTTCCAAGAATAATCAAGTCACCTATATTCATCACATGCTCAAGAATGATTGATTTTTTTCAAATTATTTTTGTTATTTAAAAATAAAAACGATATCGGTTTTGAAAAATTAATATATTCTTAAATTATAAAAACATTCATAAACTGGAACTCAAGAAGGGCATCTAGAATCCATGCAGGATCATTTAATAAAGAGAGAAATCTGTTTTTTCTTTGATAAACCAAACCTGTAAATAATGAATTAATATCAACATCTAAATCTTAACCATTCTTTCTAAGTTTTTTTTCTGTAAAACTTAAAAGTAATTTTAATAATTCAATAAAATGACGAGACAGTTTAGCAATTCCTTCTCTTTGATTTTCAAAGTTTATTCATGAGATAAGAATTTTTATAATTTCATTTGAATTAATAATTATTATTTATACTATTTAACTATTTTTTTGCTGCGCTAATATTAAGGTTCTTTTTCTTGATACAAAACATCTTTTTTGAAAGAATTCTAAGTATCAATCATTCTCAATGTTACTTAGAAAGAGAATCCTCTATTAAACGGGAAGTTTATTTTAAACTATTTCTAATTTTTTTATATATCTATAGTTTAATTTAAAAATTATCAAAAAGATTTGATTGTTGCATGACTAAAACTTCCCCTAAAAATCAAATAAAATCTATACGTAAAGGAAAGCGAATATAATCTTTTATCCACTCCAATAAATAATATAAATTAATTATATAGAATTTATATTAAAAAATATAATTTGTGACATGGAATAACTCTGCTCTTCTTAAGCACTTAATCTAGTTGAGATCAATCAGCAATTAAAAAGTCTTTAAGAGCTTTCTTTTCAAATCATCGTAAATCTAACACATTAGGTTTTTGGAATGTTGAATTTCTTAAATAAAAGTTTGAATTAACTGTTACCATAATTGTCTTCTCTAAAATAAATATTAAATGCCTTAATAGATTAAATAAATATTAAATTATCATTAAAAATCCTAATAAATAAAAATAATTAAATATTGACAAAAGAATGAAGAATCTATAATCATTAATAAAAGAATTCACAAATATTTAAAGTTATGAAAAAGAAATTAGAAAAAACACTCAGAACCCTTACATAGAATTTAAAATCATCCATCGACTCTAACTAGTATCAACCCACCAACAACGTTCTCTAATTGATCTATCTAATATGGTCGATCATATTATAATCTCAATTGAATATAAGTTATAAATCATTTTTAATCATCCATTTACAAGAGAATTTGAGCCTGAAAAATCTTTTTTCACCAAATTTAAGACTCTGTCAAATAGCTCCCTTTGAAATCACCTTATAAATCTGAATATGAAGAAGAATAAGATAATTAGATATTTGCTTGTGAAAAATTAATTTTTAGCTTGAAAAAGTAGGATGAACTTTAAAGTTTTTAATTGGAAAATTGTCATAAATCTCTTAAAAATGAAGTAGAAACAGAAATTTTAATTCTTTTAAATCTACCTGCTCCAACATTTACTCTATACTTGTCCTTCGATCTCAACTCAGAAATACAAAAATATTTTTCATACTTATCTATATTTAGAATTTCCTAAATGCATAACAAACGAATTTTTAGATCTGTAGCAACCTCCCTTAAACTTCCTTATAGCAAAGCACACAAAAAAACTCATAAAGAAGATGAATAAGTGTAACTTTTGGTAAACCATCTTTATCGAGAATTCTATTTAGATTGATGAAATGAATCACAAACCAATTCGTAAAATTCTTCAAGCAATTTTAATAATGTATTTTTTTTGTACCCAAAAATCAGAAAGACACAATAATGTAAACTTTCTTATCGATATATTATAAATTTTCATTCTTGTCTCCATATTTTGGAATTCTTAAGAAATATTTCTAGTAATAATTGGTAAATAAATTAAAAAAAATGCTAATGCAATAGATTGGAAAAAATAATTGCATAGTATATGATTGACTGATTGAGTTATCTTTTGATTAAATAGTATAATATTATAAATTACCTGATTAATAGTTTTATATTATTGAAAAAGGACAATGACCCAGTTATTTTTCAATTTAATTAATTTTATATGGAGCTAAAAGGGTTCTATTTGCGATTATAGTGAAAGTTTCTTCAGAACAGAAAATTATTTAGAATCCTATTTAATTAAATGACCCTTCATATTTTTAAATGATTTATTTCTATATTTATGCTGAAATAATTTTGAGTTATTTCTCTTATCTAAAAGAAATCTCATGTAATTTATTTAAATTGAATGGTTGAATGAACCAAATTATGCAAAGCTAATTGGAATTAAAATACATTATGATTTTAATATTCAAATATCATTTTAGGTTATAAATCATTCCAATTAAATTGGCTTATGTTTTAAATGGCATAATTATCTCTTGCAAAAAACATTCAAATCTCAACCCCATAAACTCTTAATAAAGGACACTTATTAATCAAAAAAAGTAAATTTATTATTTTTTGTATTAATTTTTAGATATATATGATGAAGGTTAAAATTAGTTAACATAAAAATTATGAGCCAATCTGTAAATTTGTTTTATTGAAATAGCTTAATCACAAAATATGAATAAAGTAAATTGGAAGGAAGCAAGCAAAATTTAATATATTAAAAATATATATAAAATATGTTCTATTAAATTATAAATTATCAAATTTCGCAAAAAAAAGTCTGTTATAATAAAGACTAATAACAGAATATGTTAAAACTTAAAAATTGTTATGTCTCTAAAAAAAAAACTACAATTTTTCAAACATTAAGAAATATTAAATTTGAAAAATCAAATTTGGATATGCTTCAATTAGGAATTAACTAGAATAATTCAATATTATCTCAAATGACTACAAAATTTTATCTTCCTTCCATTTCTTTCTTCAAGCTCTCATTTATTCTTAGGTAAAGCTGGGTTCACTGATTCTTATACTGTAATAAATACTTTCAGACCGTTAAATGCACAATTTAGTTATAAAATAATAGGATAAAATGGAATATATATTTTTGATTTGTACAATGTTTTCATTATTATAAATAAAAAAAAAATACCAATGTTATTATAAATAACACCTATCAAATATATCTAAATTATGAGTAAATCTTGGATTAAATTGATAATATTTATTACAAAGATAAGTTACTCTATATGAAATTAAGGAATTGAGTTCAAAAATTATCAACATTAGATTTA